TTTTTTTTTTTTTCAAACTTCCTGGGAGGACCCGGGCGGGCCAATAGGCGGCGGGGAAGCCGGGACAAACAGCGGCGGGGGCCGCGGCGGGCCAATGGGAGCGCGGGCCGGGTCGGGGGCGGGGCCTGCAGCGACGGGACGGGCGCGCGAGGGCGGCGGGGCGGGCGGACGGGGCCGCAGGGAGGGGAGGGCGGTGGCGGCCGGAGGGCGGGCGGGCTCGGGCCGCGGGCGCGCTGGGAGGAAGGAAGGGCCCAGTGTGCAGGTGACTCCGTCCGGCCAGGGCGCGGGGGTGGAGGATGCCGGCGGCCAGGCGTGGCAGGCCTCGCCCAGGCTGCGCTCCCCGCCCCAGCCCCGGAGCGCTGGGTCCACTAGGGCTCGGTGCCTTGGTTTGGCGGGGACCGGGGCAAAGCACCAGTACTAACGACTCAGCGGGTCCCACTCGCCAAGAGTCGATTTTCGTCCTCACCGCTGTCTAGGGAGGAAGGTGTCATTTTACTAATGAGAAAACGGAAGCTCAGAGGGGTGAGCCTATTTGCCCGAGGTCACACAGGAAGAAGAGGCGGAATTCCTAGCGAGAAAGCTGGACACAAACTGAGTTCTTGGATGGCAGGGTCTTTCCCAAATGCCCACTTTTCACCAATGGATCTTTTTTGGTTTGGGGTTTTTCAGGTGTAGGCTCAGGTTCACAGAACCCTTGGCCGTTTGTTCGATGCTCTTTTCCTGCAGGTGAGGAGGGACCCTGGTGGAATTGGTTACTAAATGCACTTGGACGTCTTTGTAGCATGGAGATTCCAACCCAGTGTTACTTTAAGCAAGGTACCTCTTGGTGCTCAATTTCACTCTGTGAAATGGGGTAATGCTGTTACCTCATGAGGTTCCTGGAAGGATTAAGTGTTAATTCAGGTAAAGCACCTAAGAAAACCTCTTTATCCCTCATTAGCTATCCTTAGGCAGGGAGGCAGGGAAGCTTGGAATAATTGCCACTTCAGTTATTCTGCCATCTTGATTTGGGGTTCAAAAATTATTGCTCTTGCCGGGTGCAGTGGCTCACCCCTGTAATCCCAGCACTTTGGGAGGCTGCAGTGGATGGATCATTTAAGATCAGGAGCTCAAGACCAGTGTGGCCAACATGGTGAAACCCTGTCTCTACAAAAAATAATTAGCTGGGCATGGTGTCAGGCGCCTGTGATCCCAGTTACTCAGGAGGCTGAGGCAGGAGAATCACTTGAACCTGGGAAGTGGAGGTTGCAGTGAGCCAAGATCGTGCCACCGCACTCCAGCCTGAGTGACAGAGCAAGACTCCATCTCAAAAAAAAAAAAAAAAAAAAAGAGAGAGAGACAACACAGGACTACTGGGAATTCCCAGGATAAGACAGGTTCTTCTACCCGCTGACTACAAATGTTCTCTGCTGTGCCTGGAACACTTCTCTTCCTGTATTCTATACTCCAACACACACACACTCTCTCTCTTTCTCCCCTTCCCCTTCCCTCCTTCCCACTCCCAATGCTTGTTGGCCTGGAAAATTTCTTCCTTCAAGTCTCAGGCCAAAGGAAGCCGAAGTGTCCCCAGCAGACTTAGAACTGCTGGCACAGTGCTCCCTACATCTGTACATTTCCCCACTAAAGTGATGACTACACTGTTCTCATAAGTTACATGTCAGTGTCCTCACCTAACTGTTCCAGAGGGAGGGGCTGGAATGTCTTTTGTCTACATCTTCGGAAGCCAGCCTAGGGCCTAGGCCCACAGTACATCCTCAGTAAGCATGGGTCAAATGAATCAATGTACCTATGAAGGAACCACAACTCATCCTGGCATGTCAGAGATGGCACAGCCTCAGGGACCCAGGAGTGAGTTATTAAACTGGCAAAGACCAGAGCTACCATTGAGGTTATCTGGTCTCAAACCATTACTCTACTGAAGATAATAAGGTAAAGCTCAGCCGGGCACGGTGGCTCACGCCTGTAATCCCAGGACTTTGGGAGGCTGAGGCGGGCAGATCATGAGGTCAGGAGTTGGAGACTAGCCTGACCAATGTGGTGAAATCCTGTCTCTACTAAAACTACAAATATTAGCTGGACGTGGTGGTGCATGCCTGTAATCCCAGCTACTCGGGAGGCTGAGGCAGGAGAATTGCTTGAACCCAGGAGGCAGAGGTTGCGGTGAGCCAAGATTGTGCCACTGCACTCCAGCCTGGGTGACAGAGCAAGAATCTCTCAAAAAAAAAAAAAATAAATATAAAAAAAATATATATATATAAGGTAAGGCTCAGGGAAGGGCATACAAGTTAGGGGCCAAGCCAGAACTCGACGCCGGGCTTTTTGGCTCTTGGCTTGGGCTAATTTCACTGCTTCAGCCCAAGAGAAGTTTAAATCTGCTCTGTGTAAGTGGGAGGCCCCACTGGCAGTTGCATCCCTAGCTCATTTCCTCACTCCCACATGACAGAGCCACTGCAGCCCAGCTCAGCAAGCCTCAGTTGCTGCATCTTTCCAATGGGGAAAATCTGTGGGGATTCCCAGAGCTGCAGGAGGACTCAGAGATATCAGAATATGAAGGCAGTGATGTAGGGATTGTGTTAGAAGCACTGGGCTCTGAGGTCAGCCAGAGGAGGGTTTGAATCTCAGCTCTGCCCCTTGCTCCCTGTGTGACCGGGAGCAAGTGACCCTCTCTCTCTGAGCTTCACTTCGTCATCTGTAAAATGAATATGAGTATAACTGTGCCTGGGAGTTCAGATCAAACACAATTAGGTGTGCCATGCAGTGAACACGGAGCCGGGCACGTAGTAGGCACAGGTAAGTCCTTGGTAGAGCAGAGGAGGAGCACCCTGGCATAACGATGCTGGTGATTGTGCACCTACTGCATGCCCAGCTCCATGTTCACTGCGTGACGAGCCTGATTGCATTTGATCCGCACTCCCAGGCACAGATGGCCTCATATTGTCCATTTTTCAGATGACGAAGTAAAGCTCAGAGAGGGATGGCCACTTGCTCCAGGTCACACAGGGAGCAAGGGGCAGAGCCTTGATTCAAACCCAGCTCTGGCTGACCTCAGAGTCCAGTGCTTCTAACATGCCCCCTACACCACTGCCTCATATCCTGATCGCTGAGCCCTCCTGCACGCAGCTCTGGGAATCCCCATGGGACTGTGTAACCTGGGATGACTTCCCTGCCTTCATTCCCTCATCTGCACAATGAGGGTTTGGGCAGAATTCCCCCAACTTTGACTCACGGCAGGGCCAGACTTGGGGGCTGCAGGCTGCCTGACAAGACACTCCCTGCCACACCTGGCTTTTCAGGAGGCGGTAGGGGGAAGAGCAGGACTGGAAAATACAGCTGTCTCCTCCTCCCACACCTCCCACTGCCCCACGGCCAGACCTGCTGTATGTTGGTGACCTTTAGTTAGTTTGATAAGGTAATTCCTGCCCATGGCTTAAAGGTACCACACTACTCAGATAACCATGCTTGCCTGCTCACCCTTGGTGCCTTAACTCCAAACAACAGTGAAAGGAAATTCTAGTCTCAGCAGGGTGACTCATGCCTATACTCACAGCCCTTTGGGAGGCGGGCAGATCACTTGAAGTCAGGAGTTCGAAACCAGCCTGGCCAACATGGTAAAACCTCTGTCTCTACTAAAAATACAAAAATTACCCAGGTGTGGTGGTGCATGCCTGAAATACCACATACTCAGGAGACTGAGGTAGGAGAATCGCTTGAAACTGGGAGGCAGAGGTTGCAATGAGCCAAGATGATGGGGCCACTGCACTCCAGCCTGGGCGATAGAGCAAGACTCCCTCTTAATTTAAAAAAAAGTCCGGATGCTGTGCCTCATGTCTGTAATTCTAGGACTTTGGGAGGCCAAGCGAGGTCAGGAGTTCAAGACCAACCTGGCCAAGATGCTGAAACCCTGTCTCTACTAAAAATAAATTACTTGTATTAGCCGGGCTGATGGCGGGCGCCTGTAATCCCAGCTACTGGGGAGGCTGAGGCAGAGAATTGCTTGAACCCAGGAGGCGGAGGTTGCAGTGAGCCAAGATCTTACCACTGTACTCCAGCCTGGGCAACAGATGGAGACTCCTCAAAAAAACAACAAAAACAGGAAATTCTGAAATGGATGGGAAAGTTAGCGTTTCAACAACAGCTCTGCAACCTCCCTGCGTCCCGATCTCCCTGAGCCCTCTCTGCAGCTCTCAGAGTCTCCACAGACGTTTTCCTAATAGAGAGATATGGCAACCAAGGTTCAGTGAGTTTCATTGCAACCCTTCTCTCATCTGAGAATGAGGAAAATCAGCTCCTTTATACCCCAAGCCGTGCAACCTTAGGCAAGTCAACTCACCTCCCTGGGCCTCAGGTCTCTTCATCTGTAAAATGGACACACTATCTCCAGCCTAATGCTGGACCCAGAGCCAATAGCAGTAAGAGAGCATCTCACCAAGGGACCCCCTGAGCCAGCCTGTGGCCGCTGGAGATGGCCAGGCCCCTTCTATCCTGCTGTGAAGGGGGTGGGAGGGAGCGGGTGTCAGCTCCCTGCCCTTACAGAAAACCCAGCCAGAGGCTTGAGTGTTTCCAGGCCTCTCCAGGCAGGGGATGGGTTACGTAATGCCAGATGTTTGTGAAACTGGCTCAGGCCCAGGTCTGAGACACACTTTGCAATCCCAGAGCCACTCCTAAGCCCGCCGTCCCTTCCCCCACACCTGGCTCCCCTGTGGCGGAGGGCTGGCCAGAGGTTGCTGATTCGAAGCTTTCAGCTGTATAGACTATTCCATCACCTCTCACTTGGAAAGCTGAAAGCAGCCCCCAAGCCTGCCCCGGGGGTGGGAAACCCATTCGCTTGCTGAGACCAGGGTGGGCTTTAGCGCTCTGCTTCCACCTCTCCTTCCAGGCGAGGGTCCCAGATGCCTCCTCCTCAGCCCCTACTCTCTCCTTTGCCTAACACCACCCCTCCTCCCTCCCCTCCCCATCTCTATCCACCCTCACCCCTCCAGCCCCCGCTGGAGCCAGCCTACCCTTCGCCACCTGAGGACCCCCAGAGACAGCAGGAACGGATTGAACAGCGTGGGCCGGTCCCCGGGCATCCGCCATGAGGTCACCAGTCGGCCCTTGAGCGGGCTCCCAGCCTTGCCCTCTGCTGGCCTCTTGTCTGCCTGTCAAACAGGGTCCAGTGTTGGCCCCAGGTCCCTTTGGCGAGATGGGGGCACCCGTGGCTACAGCCTCCCCTGCCCTTTCTGTGGTGCCCCCCACGAAACCCCAGGGTTCCCATCTTTCTCTCCTCCCAGAGCTGCCGAAACAAGAGCTGGTTAACACTACATTGTGTTTGACTAACAAGGCGCCCAGGGCCCAGCATCCTCGAAGGTGCGCATGTCATCAACCTAAAGTCAAACCAGTGGCGCCAGCTGGAGGGGAGTGCAGACTGCGGGTGTGTTTCATTCAGCCCACGTAGTGTTTTCAGAGTATTTGACCTTAGGTTAGAGATTTCACCTATAAATTGATATTTCCGCCCGGCGCGGTGGCTCAAGCCTGTAATCCCAGCACTTTGGGAGGCCGAGGCAGGTGGATCACGAGGTCGAGAGATCGAGACCATCCTGGTCAACATGGGGAAACCCCGTCTCTACTAAAAATACAAAAAATAAATTAGCTGGGCATGGTGGCGCGTGCCTGTAATCCCAGCTACTCAGGAGGCTGAGGCAGGAGAATTGCTTGAACCCAGGAGGCGGAGGTTGTGGTGAGCCAAGATCACGCCATTGCACTCCAGCCTGGGTAACGAGAGCGAAACTCCGTCTCAAAAAAAAAAAAAAAAAAAAATTGTTATTTTCAGTGTTTCTTGAAAGATCGGACGATGTGGAAACTCTTGGCCCATCTTCCCCAGGGCAACAGCTATCTGGAACCGAGGAGTCACACAAGTGCCCGTGGTCCCCCACTTCTCAGCGTTGTCACCTGCCTGGCCTTCAGGGCGTTAGGTTTGTGACCCCAGCTTAAGCAAAAGGATTGAGTTGCAGACTTCTATAGACACCCTCGGCAGAGTCCCCAAATGCTCCCTCTTTGGAGTTATCCCTGTTGGGAAAATCAAGGCCCCAATGAACAGAGGCATCTGCCCAAAGTCACATAGCAGGTTACTGGCAAGGTAGGAGACAGCCCAGGTGTCCCCTCTCTGGAATCTACAGACTCTCTGGGGGTGGGACTTGCATCAAAGCACAGGTCCAGGAGGGCATTGTGGGTAGGGGTGCCCCTGACCCTCCTATCATCCTCATCACAGACCTGACCATAGGCACGCAACTGTCTCACTAGACTGAACTTGATGGCACCCTGACTCACCTCTGACCCACACCCAGGCATACAGAAGGTGCTCACTACTTGCGTGTGAATGAATGCAGGAATGAGGTAGTTATCAGTTCCAACCAGTCAAGGCTGCCTAGGGGTAGGGGTAGGTCGAGATATTTTCTGCGTTGATGGGCCGGGCCCGTTTCATGGAGACTAGAGGGGCACCCCTGCATCGCCATTTCCGCCTTCTTCGCTACTCTGGCTCCAGGAAGTATGAAGAAATAACCGAGAAAGAGGAAGAGCAAAGTCAAACTTCTCGGAGCCCCTGGGAGGGCTGGCAGCGCCTTTGGCCATCAGCGTCTCCTGTCCCCTCCTGTTCCACACATGGGAAGACTGCCCCCCCGCTTGAAAGAAATCAGGGCGGGACCAGGGGGCAGCATGCAGAGAGAGAGGGCACTGGGTGGTTCCTGGGCCCTGGGTTCTAGTTCGAGTCCAGCTACCCACTGACTGTGTGTAACCTGGAACGACTCCCCTGCCTCCATTTCCTCATCTGCACAGTGAGGGTTTGAGCAGAATTCCCCCAACTTTGACTCAAGGCAGGGCCAGACTTGGGGGCTCCAGGCTGCCCGACAGATGCTGCCTGCCACACCTGGCTTTTCAGGAGATGGCGGGGGCGGGGGGGGGGAAGAGCAGGACCGGAAAACACAGCCCCAGTCTGTCTCCTCCTCCCCTGCCTCCCACTGCCCCACGGCCCTCAGCTCTGATCTCACCTCTCTGGAGGCTGAGGGTGACGAGAACAGTCTGTTTGGCAGGTCCCGGGGAGGGGCGGGCAGAGCCGTGCTCACCAGCTGCAGCCAGGCCTCCGAGCAGCCTCCGTGGGTCCCACCCCCGCACATCTCTCTCCTGCCTCCTGGACCCTGGAGACCCTCCAGGCCTGGCTGACCACGGGCACATCCTCAGCTCCGACTCCTGCCCCTGGAAGCCCTGCTCTCTCTCAGCCTGGTCTGGCCCTCTCAAAGCGGAAGGATCTCTTCCCTCAGAGACCACTGAGTCCAAACTGTCATTTGCCCAGGGAAAGACACTGACCTTTTCGGCCCCAGCAAATGAGAAGCGCGGCCTACAGTTCTGACCTCAGGATGGCCCACCTACCCAGGTCCCCAAGCCAGAAGGTGGCTCTCCAGAGCCCCTCAAGGCCCTGCCACACACACAGATGACCCCGTGGCAAAGCCAACTTTGCTCTAGATGATTCCAGGGCTCTCCTGAGGAATGCAGCCATCTCCAACCTGCTGCCCCCTTCCTCCCCTTCCGTATGTACCCATGCCCATGACCCAACTACCGAGTCGGCCTGCTTCTGGTCAGTCAGGGGGTCTTGGCCTCTGCTTGGTTCTGACTTCTCAGGCTCCTCTGGTGGGAACTGGAGATTAAAAAAAGAGCACAGCTTAGCCCAGCTTATTCTCCAGGATGCATCCATCTGTCTACCTTCTCTATCCATTTATCATCTATCCATGCAACAGCCATCTAACGTCCAGCATCAGTAGATCCGTGTATCCCTCCAACCATCCAATGTCTGTCCCTCATTACTCACCCCTCTTCTATCCAACGTCCATTGTCTACCACCCACACGTGTACCTGCCCTCCATTGATCCGTGTGTCCATTTACCCCATGCCTATGTATCCCTCTCTCCATCAATCATCCATCTACCCATATATCCAACATCTGTCTGTCCACCATCTATCATCCAACATTCATCCATCCATGCAGCATCTATCCATATTCCGCCCAACCTTCAGCTGTCCATCACCTAAGCAACGTCCATCCTAGATGCACCATTAATTCATCACCCAGCTATCCACCCATCACCATGTGTCATCCATCCAACGTGCATCATTGATCCATCACCCGTTCACACGTTCATCCTCCATCCGTTGTCCACCCACTGACCCCGCTGTCCTCCATCCTGCATGTTTCCAATGAGCTGCCCCCTCCTTTATGTCAGGCCCTGGGCCAGAGCCAGAGGTACAGAGAGAAAGCAGGCAGGGCTCAGCTGAGAGCAGTGGCTCATGCCTGTAATCCCAGCACTTTGGGAGGCCGAGGCAGGTGGATCACGAGGTCAGGAGTTGGAGATCACCCTGGCCAAGAGGATGAAATCCCGTCTCTACTGAAAATACAAAAATTAGCCAGGTGTGATGGTGTGCGCCTGTAGTTCCAGCTACTCCGGAGGCTGAGGCAGGAGAATCGCTTGAACCCAGGAGGCAGAGGTTGCAGTGAGCTAAGATCACACCATTTCACTCCAGCCAGGGCAACAGAGTGAGACTCCATCCAAAAAAAAAAAAAAAAAAAAAAAGTGGGGGCAGGCAGAGCTGCTGCCCCCATGGAGCTTCTGGAGAGATGCCAACCCCATTAGATGGACAGACACGGACAGATGAGGGAAGCAAAACTGCCAAGCCCAGAAGGGGACCGTTGCTAGGAGAGACTGTTCAGGGAGGGCTTCTCAGGACTGGGTGCCTGACCTATGACTTGAACAATGAACAGACGTTTGGTGGCTGAAGAGGGGAGGGAAGGGCAGCTGAGGCCATGGGAACAGCACATGCAAAGGCAGGGATATGTGCTCACAGGCCCTGCAGCCAGCTCAGCACCAGCGAGGCAAATCCAGAGTGGAAGGAAGGGAAGGCGGCCTTGAATACCATGCCAAGGATTTTCATAGAGAGGAGCTGGAGCCCTGGCAGGACCTGGTGGTTCCACGTTTTGCCATCTGTGAAATGCCTTTCAGCTCGTGGCATTCCTACGCCTTCCTAGCTACCAGCTCCCAGTCTCCTGAGAATCCTGAGCTTCACCATGAAACTGAAGAATCAATCTCTCTCTCTCTCTCTTTCCTTCCTTCCTTCTTTTTTTTTTTTTGAGGGGGAGTCTTGCTCTGTTGCCAGGCTGGGGTGCAGTGGTACAATCTCAGCTCACTGCAATCTCCACGTCCCAGGTTCAAGCGATTCCCCTGCCTCAGCCTCCCAAGGAGCTGCGACTATAGCCGAGTGCCGCACCTCGCTAATTTTTTTTTTTTTTTTTTTTTTTTTGAGACAGAGTTTCGCTCTTGTTACCCAGGCTGGAGTGCAATGGCGCGATCTCGGCTCACCGCAACCTCCGCCTCCTGGGTTCAGGCAATTCTCCTGCCTCAGCCTCCTGAGTAGCTGGGATTACAGGCACGCGCCACCATGCCCAGCTAATTTTTGTATTTTTAGTAGAGACGGGGTTTCACCATGTTGACCACGTTGGTCTCGATCTCTTGACCTCGTGATCCACCCGCCTCGGCCTCCCAAAGTGCTGGGATTACAGGCTTGAGCCACCGCGCCCGTCCTCCACTTCCTTCTTGACCTGGCTGGCCTGCAGCACCAAGCATGCCCCGGGACACAGCACCATGTCCCCCCTGAGCTGCCTGTGCTCTGTGTGCCTTCCCAACAAGCCTGAAGGCAGGACAAGCTGACTTTTCTGTACTTCTCTGGTGACCATACATGAGTTGATCGGAGGGTCAACTCATGAAAACCACAGGGAAATACTGGGGAGAGGGCTCCCTAGCTTTCCTAAGGGCTCAGGAGCTTTGTGACATGGTGGTTAAAAGCACAAACCTTGGAGTGGACGCTTTGATCTCATTTCTCACAACCTATGCATGTTTGACCCCGAGCAAATGAGCCTGAGTTTCCTCATCTGTCAAGTGGCAACTACCTCCTATCCACCTGAGGCACATATGTCAAGGCCCGGGGCCCAGCACATGGTACCCCCCAATGCCCAAAAGCCCTGCTCATCCTGCGAGAGGTGGCATCGAACTTTGCATCTAGGAGATGAGGAGGCTTTGGAGAAACAAGCAGGAACCCCCACAGCACCCCAGTGCTGCCTGTCAGAGAAACGGTTCGTCCATCTTTTTTTTTTTTTTTTTTTTTGAGACGGTGTTTTGTTCTGGTTGCCCAGGCTGGAGTGCAATGGCACGATCTCGGCTCACTGCAACCTCCGCCTCCCAGGTTCAAGTGATTCTCCTGCCTCAGCTTCCCGAGTAGCTGGGATTACAAGCGTGTGCCACCACGCCTGGCTAATTTTGTATTTTTAGTAGAGTTGGGGTTTATCCTTGTTGGTCGTGCTGGTCTTGAGCTCCTGACCTCAGGCGATCTGCCTGCCTCAGCCTCCCAAAGTGCTGGGATTACAAGCGTGAGCCACCGCACCCAGACGAGGTTGGTCCATCTTACAGAGGGAGAGAGACTGGTGTTCAAAACCATGTGCCGTCCTCCCAGTGAGCTGTCACCAGGCTGCAGGACTCTGGCCTCCGGGACCCTCCTTGCCTACCATCTTCGGATGAAGAATGTTCTGGGCTTCAAGGCAGCACCAAAGTACCACTGAACCAGGGGAAGGGTGAGTACCTACTGTGTGCCCGGCGCTGGGCCTACTTTACACACAGCCTCATTTAAGCAGCCTGTCCTGACAGCTAGCTGGACCCAGGGAGCACTGCTGCACCTCTGTATCTGAGAGGAGCTGTAGGGGGCAGAGGGGGTAAGCCAGGCTGTCCTGGACTCAGGAACCCGGGAACCTCCAGGGGAAGGGGCATGACGACACTGGCTACAGTCCCAGGAGGGGTCAGCTGTGTGCCACCAGACACAACATCGACCAGGTATGGTAGAGCCGGGAGGGGAGCAGGCCCTGGCCAGAGCATCTTGCTTGAGGCCTCAGCGTGGTCCGCAGTGAGCAGATCTGGGTTTTGCCCATCCCCCACCAGCAAGCGGCTTCACCCTGGCTTCAGTTTCTTTATCTGTACGTAGTGTATTTCCCACCTGGTTGCTAAGGAGTCTGAATGGGAAAAGTACACATCAAACATTCAGGTCAGGGCTTGGCCCGTAAATGCTTCAAACGGTTGCTCATCATCACTGTCGGGCCAGTTTGGTGTTTGGGATAGGTTGTGGTCAGCAGGGAGGCCCGGGGGATGCAGGGGCTCAGGCTACTCACAGGGAGGCTTTTCCTAGGAGGTTTGGCTGGCTGACTTTCTGCCTACCTTTGGGAGGGTGGGACCCTCGACCCTCCTTACCTGCAGCTCTGGCAAGCTGGGGCTCTCTGCAGGGCTCCTGCTCCCCAGGGGGCCCATCTGCTCCAGGCTGGTCAGAGTTGCAGTCGCCGGTCCTCTTGTCACTTTGGTCTTTGGCCACTGGGTGGAGGTGCAGGTAGGGCTGGGAGGCTGGGCGGGGCCCTGGGGCCGTAGTGCAGCGCTGTATCCATCGACTGGGGTGGCCTCAGCCTGGCCTTCTGGCTGGCTGTGTGGATCCTGCTCGGGGGCATCTTTTGTGCCTGGGGGACCCGGCTCTGGCCCTGAAGCCCTGGCCGGGTCACCCCTGTGTCCAGCTGGGTCCTTGTGGGGCAGCCTGGCCTGCAGGAGCTCCAAGAGGCCCTCCCAGTCCAGCCTGGGGAGACGGGCCCAGGCCCCATCTCCTGGTGCCCGGAGAAGGCCCAGCAGGTCCCTCCAGTCAAGCTCGGGTTGCCTCTCAGGGCCATGTGGGTATGGACAAGCTCCCTCTGCCCCCCGGCCCACGGCGGTGGGTGACCCAGGCTGCCAGGATTGCGAGGTCTCTGCAGGGCCTCCCCAGCTCTCTGGGGTGCTCACGGGTGAACTGCTTTTCCCTCGTTCTCTGGGGGCCTCATGGGTGGACTTCTCCTCCCAGGTCTCTGACTGCCCCCAGCTCTCCTGGTACTCTCTGGGAGGGCCCCCCCATGTTCCCTCTGAGGCTCTGGCCGCCCCCAGACTGGGCTCCCCACATCGCCGCCAGCCCCCAGGGCCCAGGCCTCCCTCCTGGCCACTCCAGCTCCTTTCCAGGTGTCTGTGAGGGCCCTGGGACCCTGGCGGCTCCTCCTGACTCTGCCACACCCCCAGAGGCTGTCTTGTATCCGCTCGGCCACTCTCCAGAGGTCTCTGTGTCCGCAGCTCCCTCTCAGGGGTCCTGGCTGATGTCCTGGGGGACGGCGGGGACCCCTGGAACCACCGATCTCCATCCGGTCTCTTCTCAGGACTTCGAGGACGAGGGGGCTCTGCTCGGCTCTGCTGGGCCGGTTCTGCTTGTTTGGCAGGGGGCTTGGTCACCTGGGGACGAGGTGAGGGAGTGGGTGAGGTTCTCTCTCTGGGGACCTGGCTGCCGGCTCTGCCTTTCTTAGCCAGGCCCCCAGAGAGGCAAGGCTGTGTCCACACAGCAGCCTGAATCAGAGCTGCATCGAAAGCACACAGGGTCCCTGGCCCCCACTCCGGGGGGTCAGCTCCTCCCTTTCACCCTTTTTCCTCAGTTCCAGAAAAAGATCTGCAAAGATCTGTTTCTGTTCTTGGCTTCTCACTCCCTCGAAGATACCGATTCCAGCTGGGGCTATCAGGTGCCAGAACTCCCACCAACACCCCATTCCCCTGGGGTGAGCCCAGCCCTCTGAGTTTTGTTACAGATACAAATCACCCTGAAAGAGAGGGCCCTTAGAGCCAGATTGATGCATCAGGCTTTCCCTGAAAGCTGCTGAAGACAGCAGTATTGGCCGGGCGTGGTGGCTCACCCCTGTAAACCCAGCACTTCGGGAAGTGGGTGGATCACCTGAGGTCAGGAGTGACCAGCCTGGCCAACATGGTGAAACCCTGTCTCTACTAAAAGTACGAAAATTAGCTGAGTTTGGTGGCATGTGCTTGTAATCTCCCAGCTACTTGGGAGGCTGAGGGAGGAGAATGTCTTGAACCTGGGAAGCGGAAGTTGCAGTGAGCTGAGATCTCGCCACTGTACTCCAGCCTGGGAGACAGAGCAAGACTCCACCTCAAAAAACAGACAGTAGCACGTCGTGAAGGAAGGGGGCTGTCTTCAAAGGACCAATGTGGGTCTGGAATCTTGTGCATTTGCCAAGAACTGCTGGCCCTTGGGAAGAGGGGAGAGCCAGATACTCATGACTGGACTCCGACCCTTTCATAGAGATCTTCCTGTCCAGGACCCCTGCCTGGCTCCCACGGGGCAGGAAGAGACAGTGGCTGCCCCTTGGGGTGCGGGGCCCCATACAGCAGGCAGTGCTCACCTGCCTGCTGGGGGCAGGGCTGGACTGTCTTCGGAGAAGTTGGCTCTGGCCTTGGCTGGGCCGCTGTGACCGTCCCTCGTCCCGGGTCTGGAAGGCCCCCGCTGCCTCGGACTTCCTATGAGCAAATGCAGCCACTCCTCTGAGGGACAGTCCCACTGCCAGCACCCCACCCCTCTGCTCCCACCTCCAACAGGAGGAGATGTGGGAGAGCCAGGGGCCCCACTGCAAGCTGGTTGAAGGGCCCTAAGTGACTCTCAGGGCCTCAATGTCCCCTGCTGAGAAATGGGGATGATTTAACACTGCTCTATTCTGCCTCATGAGGATCTTGAGGTCGGGTGGGGAGAGGAATCTGGCTTTGACTCCTGTGTCCTTCAGTACTTCCTGTGACTAACCACCACCCCGCCAGCAGCCCACCAGCCACCCCCAGACAAAGGTTAGGCTGGTCTTAGTGGGAATTAAGATTTATTGAGCACCTACTGTGTACCAGGCACCAGGCACACATAATTGTAATGGCAAAGCATTTACTGAGTACTTCTTACGTTCCAGGGGCCAGGCGCTTGTATCGTGATCTCATTTCATCTCACACAGCCCACGTTGGGGGGTGACAGAGGCAGATTGCTGTGTGCCCCCGTCTTGTATTCTTTGTACCCTTTTCCTGTCCATATCGTAAATTTTGGATTTCTTTTCCTTTTTCCCTCCCATGACTGCTAACCAACAGAATCCCAGCACTTAGCCTTAAAAACTCAGGCTGGCCAGGAGCAGTGGTTCATCCCTGTAATCCTGGCACTTTGGGAGGCCAAGGTGGGCGGATCACCTGAGGTCAGGAGTTTGAGACCAGTCTGACCAGCATGGAGAAACCCCATCTCTACTAAAAATACAAAAATTACCCGGGTGTGGTAGCTCATGCCTGTAATCCCAGCCACTCGGGAAGCTGAGTCAGGAGAATCACTTGAACCCAGGAGATGGAGGTTGCAGTGAGCCGAGATGGCGCCATTGCACTTCAGCCTGGGTGACCAGAGCAAAACTCTGCCTAAAAAAAAAAAAAAACCTCCAGGCCATCCTAGCTGTTGGCAAAAGACTTCTGGGCAAGATCAGAAGAAAGAAACATTCTCCCGGACAACTCCAGAGAGGCCAACATGAACTGTTGGAGCAGATGTCATTCCTTTGTTTTTTTTGAGATGGAGTCTCACTCTGCAGTGGCGCAATCTCAGCTCACTGCAACTTCCATCTCCTGGGTTCAAGTGATTCTCTGCCTTAACCTCCCAAATAGCTGGGATTACAGGCATGAGTCACCATGCCTGGCCCTGGGCAAATGTTATTTCTAAGACACCAGACTTAGGCATTGTTGCCGCATCTGCTGAGATCATCTCTCATTTGTGTAACAAGTCTAGTTCCAGTTGTCTTGCTTACTAACGGGGAGGCATGGTTGTTAATGTTTAACGTGATATCTCTGTTGACAGGTAGAAACACCAAACAGAACCTCCGCACATCTCTCCCTTCCTCCACCTCAGGAGGTCACAACAAAAGACCCAGCCACTCCGTGAATGTTTATTTTGGTGGGGTCTCAGCAAATGGAGCCAAGTCTCTGGTGGATGAACTGAACCAGGAAGAGAAGTCTGAAAAAGGCCACCCTATGGTGGGTCCAGAGTGAGGCAGCAAAAAGGGAAGAGGAAATTCTGCTCAGGCCTCCGTAGGTCCTGCCGGCTGTGGTCTGCCTGTGCTTAAGGAATCATGCTGGAACAACAGCTTTAAAAGTTTGAGATTGGGTGGGGCGCAGTGGCTCATACCTGTAATCCCAGAACTTTGGGAAGCTGAGGTGGGCGGATAGCTTGAGCTCAGGAGTTCAAGACCAGCCTGGGCAACAGGGTGAAACCTGGTCTTTAAAAATACAAAAATTATCCAGTTGCCTGACCATTTGGAGAAAAAATAAAAATACAAAAATTAGGCCGGGCACAGTGGCTCATGCCTCTAATCCCAGCACTTTGGGAGGCTGAGGTGGGTGTATCACTTGAGGTAAGGAGTTCAAGACCAGCCTGGTCAACATAGTGAAACTGTGTCTCTACTAAAAATACAAAAATTAGCTGGGTGTGGTGGAGGATACCTGTAATCCCAGCTACTCGGGAGGCTGAGGCAAGAGAATGACTTGAACCCGGGAGGCAGAGGTTGCAGTGAGCCAAGATCATGCCACTGCACTCCAGCCTGGGTAACATAGTGAGGTCCTGTCTCAAAAAAAAAAAAAAAGTATGGGTTTGGGAGGCCAGGTACAGTGTCTTACATCTGTAATTTCAGCACTTGTGGAGGCTGAGGTCGGAGGATCATTTGAACTAAGGAGTTTAAGACCAGCCCTGGCAATAGAATGAGACCTTGTTCTATGAAAAAAAAAATTTTTTTTCATGAGACTGGCATGGTGGTATGTGGCTGTAGTCCCAGCTACTTGGGAGGCTGAGGTGGGAGGATCGCTTGAGCCTGGGAGGTTGAAGCTGCAGTGAGCCATGATCATGCTACTGCATTCCAGCCTGGGCGAAAAAGCAAGATCCTGTCTCAAAAAGGAAGAAGTATGAGGTTGGAGTCTTTTGTTGTTTCATGGCTCTTGCCAATGTCTTTAGAATCAGAGCCATAAAGTACAGTACTTTTGAGTTGTTAGCAGTTATTGGCAGCTGGTTCAGACAGGAACGTAAGTTTCCTGGAAGAAGTGTTTCTGAGTTTGAGGGGCTCCCTGAGCAGGCCGTTTGTACTTTTTTTTTTTGAGATGGAGTCTCGCTCTGTGGCCCAGGCTGGAGTGCAGTGGCGCCATCTCAGCTCACTGCAATCCCTGCCTCCTGGGTTCAAGCGATTCTCTTGCCTCAGCCTCCCAAGTAGCTGAGATTACAGGTGCCCACCACCACACCCGGCTAACTTTTGTATTTTTGGTAGCGATAGGGTTTCTCCATGTCGGCCAGGCTGGTCTAGAATTCCTGACCTCAGGTGATTCACTCGCCTCAACCTCCCGAAGTGCTGGGATTACAGGTGTGAGCCACTGCACCCAGCCAATTTGTGATCTAATTTGAGGCGAGTGAGTTTCCTTACTCTGTGAGAGCTGAAGGCCTTAGAGTGAATTTCCCCGGAACTGGGGTAGAGGAGCCTCAGTGAAGCCACAGCTCGAACATGACCCAGTGGGCTGTTCCTCCCTAATGGGGAGGATGGGGAGGACAATGGCCCAAATATCTGGTGCAGGGAAACAAGGCACTTGTGTGTCGTCTTTCGAATGGATGCGTTTTCCATACGAACTGCAGCTCGCGTGATGAACATTCCTCCTGAGAACTCGCCTTCCTTTTTCTCCCCATGTGGAATTAAGAGAAAGGAGCGAGGGACTCAAGAAGATTCTGAGACCCCCCCCATGGAGACCCGGCTTGTCTGATGCTGAAGCAACAGCGTCTCCTCGGGGTCACCTGTTCTGGAGGGTTGGTGTGGCCACACCAAGCATGACAAAGGAAACGTGTCTCCTTGGGAAGCTTAGATGGGCTCTTTGACCTCCAGAGAGAATTAAAGGACCAAAGCCATCAAGTCTAGCAAATCCAATGAAGGCTGTTTTGAATTCAAATGACCACAAATGCTTATACGACTCTAAGAGATTCCAAAGGCATCTAAGGAAAAATAAATTAAGATCAAGCCAAAACTCCCAACACTTTGATGTGATAAGCCTTTAAGAAAAATTTTCCAGACTTGGGACAATGCTGGGACAGAGTAGATGCTCAATAAATACATATCGATGAGGAAAAGGGAGAAAATCAAAGCACAATCCTACAGCCACCTGCTCACAAGCTCCAGTCTGTCCCTTACACACTACACTGTTAGAAAATTTTCATCTTCAACGAGTGGCCGGGCGCGGTGGCTCAAGCCTGTAATCCCAGCACTTTGAGAGGCCAAGACGGGTGGATCACAAGGTCAAGGGATCGAGACCATCCTGGTCAACATGGTGAAACTCCGGCTCTACTAAAAAATCCAAAAAAATTAGCTGGGCATGGTGGCACGTGCCTGTAATCCCAGCTACTCAGGAGGCTGAGGCAGGAGAATTGCCTGAACCTGGGAGGCGGAGGTTGCGGTGAGCCGAGATTGTGCCATTGCACTCCAGCCTGGGTAACAACAGCGAAACTCCGTCTCAAAAAAAAAAAAAAAAAAAAAAAAGAAAGTTTTCATCTTCAGAGGATGAATGGTTTTCTATCTGGAAAAGGTGCCAGATAAGAGGAAAAAATTTCATTACTCAGTAAAATGGTAAAACCTTGACTAAATGGTAAATAATCTATTTCAAAGAGAGTAGAATGAAATGTATAGGAGTGATTGTGTAAAAACAAATGGTTAATAAAAGTGTAAACCTATTCCTCGTTTCTGTTATTAATATAAACATTTTCTCTCTCTAAAATTTTAACCTAAAAAAAAGAAAGAAAATCAATTTTGGCTTAAAGATCTTAAGTCCCCATTGAGTTATTAGTTAAGACAAAATTAGGAAAATTGACATCAGACCAGAAATAGTCATCATAAAACCGTCAAAGACACTTTGGGATGCCAAGGTGGGAGCACTGCTTGACACCAGGAGTTTGAGACCAACCTGGGCAAGAAAGTGAGACTCCATCTCTACAAAAAATAGAAAAATTAGCTGGGCACAGTGGTGCACGCTTGTAGTCCCAGCTACTGGGAGGATGAGGTGAGAGGATTGCTTGAGCCTGGGAGTTGGAGGCCACAGTGAGCCATGATCACACCCCTGCATTCCTGCTGGGTGACAGATCGAGACCCAGTCTCAAAAAAAAAAAAAGGTCAGCCTGTCACAGTGGCTCACACCTGTAATCCCAGCACTGTGGGAGGCTGAGGCAGGCAGATTATGGGGTCAGAAGTTCAAGAGCATTCTAATATGGTGAAACCCTGCCTCTACTAAAAATATAAAAATTAGCCGGGCGTGGTGACAGGTGCCTGTAGTCCCAGCTATTCCAGAGGCTGAGGCAGCAGAATCGCTTGAACCTGGGAGGCGGAGGTTGCAGTGAGCCAAGATTGCGCCACTGCACTCCAGCCTGGGTGACAGAGCGAGACTCCATCTCAAAAAAAAAAAAAAAAAAGGTCAGTGACGCTGAAAATTTTTAAGGTAGTGAAACCCTAAAATGGTGAAGTAGCACCATGAATACTTGTCATTACACATTCATTCAAGCCCACAGGCTGTACACCACCAAGAGTGAAGCCTCAACTTCGGGTGATTTGTCAGTGCAGGTTCATGGATTGTAACAAATGTATCACCACCAGTACAGTGGCTCACCAGCACTTTGAGAGGCCAAGAAAGCGGGGTCCCTTGAGGCCAGGAGCTAAAAACGAGCACACATCTCTAGTACAGGACATTGGTAGCGGGAGAGGCTGTGCATGGAACTCTGCACTTTCTGCTCCGTTTTGCTGTGAACCTAAAACTACGCTACGTTTTTGTTGAGATGAAGTTTTGCTCTTGTTGCCCAGGCTGTAGTGCAATGGTGTGATTTTGCTCACTGCAATCTCCGCCTCCCAGGTTCAAGCGATTCTCCTGCCTCAGCCTCCCAAGTAGCTGGGATTACAGCTGCGCGCCACCACACCCTGCTAATTTTATGTTTTTAGTAGAGATGGGGTTTGGGGTTTCACTATGTTGGTCAGGTTGGTCTCGACCTCCTGACCTCAGGTGATTCATCCACCTCGGGCTCCCAAAGTGCTGGGATTGATTATAGGCGTGAGCTACCATGCCTGGCCTAGGGTTTTTTTTTGTAAGGCCTAAGAAAGAATTATACTAATGCCGGAGACCACATAGTTGTCACCTGGATATTAAATGATCAAGCTACTGGGAAAGGAAAATTTTTTTTTTTTGGAACGGAGTCTCACTCTGTTGCCAGGCTGGAGTACAATGGCACAATCTCGGCTCACTGCAACCTCCGAATCTCTGGCTCAAGCGATTCTCCTGCCTCAGCCTCAGCCTCCTGAGTAGCTGGGATTACAGGCACATGCCACCACGTCCAGCTACTTTTTCTTTTTCTTTTTTTTTTGTTTTTTGTTTGTTTGTTTGTTTGTTTGTTTTTGTTTTTTTTTGAGACGGAGTTTCGCTCTTGTTGCCCAGGCTGGAGTGCAATGGCTTGCTCTCGGCTCACCGCAATCTCCGCCTCCTGGGTTCAGGCAATTCTCCTGCCTCAGCCTCCTGAGTAGCTGGGATTACAGGCACACGCCACCATGCCCAGCTAATTTTTAGTATTTTTAGTAGAGACGGGGTTTCACCATGTTGACCAGGATGGTCTCGATCTCTTGACCTTGTGATCCACCCGCCTCGGCCTCCCAAAGTGCTGGGATTACAGGCTTGAGCCACCGCGCCTGGCTACTTTTTCTATATTTAGTAAAGAAGGAGTTTCACTATACTGGGCAGGCTGGTCTCGAACTCCTGACCTCATTATACCCACCTCAGCCTCCCAAAGTGCTGGGATTATAGGCATGAGCCACAGCCTCCGGCCTTCTCTTTCTTAAAATAGGTGGCTCTGGCCATACATTTTAAATTGACATCTATTTTCTGAAACGCACAGGGACCCATGAGTTTTCTTTGCTAAGTCAGGAAAAAATCATGGGCACTTCCTTCTTGCACAGAATAAAAAACAAACCCATGAGTCTGGATCAAAGGGTTTGAGATTTCACTCTCATTTGAATGAATGTGCTCACGCTCCCTTCCATTACGGATGAGGAAACTGAGGCTCAAGTAGGTTAACTCATATGTCCAGTCACACAGGTGGAGACGTGACTTTGACCCAGGATTTGGACTTAGCCTTCCTGACTACAGTCTTTGCTGTTGACCACCGGGCTGTGCATGACATCACTTAACCACACACAAAAAAACCAAAAACAGGCCGGGCGTGGTGGCTCACACCTGTAATCCCAGCACTTTAGGAGGCCAAGGCGGGCAGATCATGAGGTCAGGAGTTTGAGACCAGCCTGGGCAACATAGTGAAACTCTGTCTCTACTAAAAATACAAAAAATTAGCCAGGCATGGTGGTGGTCACCTGTAATCCCAGCTACTCTCGAGGCTGAGGTGGGAGAATCACTTGAACCTGGGAGGCAGAGGTTGTAGCAAGCCGGGATCGCACCATCACACTCTAGCCTGGGCAAAAAACCAAACAGCCCGGGCGCGATGGCTCACACCTGTAATCCCAGCACTTTGGGAGGCCGAGGTGGGCAGATCATGAGGTCAAGAGATCAAGACCATCCTGGCCAATACGGTGAAACCTCGTCTCTACTAAAAATACAAAAATTATCTGGGCATGGTGGCACATGCCTGTAGTCTCAGCTACTCGGAAGGCTGAGGCAGGAGAATTGCTTGAACCCAGGAGGCAGAGGTTGCAGTGAGCCGAGATTGTGCCACTGCACTCCAGCCTGGTGCCTGGCGACGGAGCAAGAGTCTATCTGAAAACAAACAAACAAAACCCCACAAAACTCCTAAAATGTAGAAACAGAGAGATGGGGTGATTTGCCCAAGGTCACACAGCCAGTAAATGGCAGTCTAGGGGGATTTGAACCCTTTCTTCTGGCACTCTAACCCTGAGAACCTTCCACCTGTCCCACTGCAGAGCCTCCTCCCCAGCCCACCTGGCTGACGCCACCCTGGGCTCACCTGCGCTCCTGCCCGAAGAGGCGCTCCACCTCCGCACGGCCAGGGCTGCGTTTGCGGCCGCCGATGCTGCTTTGTGCCTGGGGCCCTGGCTGTCTCTGTGCCAGCCTCCTGGGTGGGGGCAAGTTGGCCAGCACGGTGTACTCTTCCCGCTCCAGGTTGTGCCTCGTCTCCCCAGGAGGCGCTGAGCCCCGGGAGCCCCCGGAGCTGCCTGGAGAAGGTGAGGGTGCCAGGAACACTAGGTCACTGGGCGGGTGGCGGGGTGGGGAGGAGGCTCGGGGTGCATCTCGGTGCCCGATGCACACTTGGGGGATCAGCACTGGGGAGCCATGCAGAGAGTCAGTGGAGGGGGCCAGGCTCTCCATGCTAGTTCCAGGGGGATCCTGGAAGAAGAGGGATGGCTCAGGAGCCTGGCGTGGTGGGGACGAGAAGGCGGGTGCATCCCGGTGTCCGATGCACACGGGGGCGGGGATGTGGGGGGGCTCGTGCAGAGAGTCCATGGAAGGGACAAGGCTCTCGGTGCTGGCCCTGGGGAGGTCCTGGAATAAGAGGGAAGGCTCTGGGGCCTGGCGTGGTGGGGAGGAGGCCCGGGGTGCGTCTCGGTACCCAATACACACAGGTTGGGGGAGCTGAAGGGGCTCGTGCTGGGGGGACTGACACTGACGCTCAGCGTCTGACATGTCTGGGAGGAAGGGGAAGGGGTCAAATTGGGTGTGGCGAGGGGGCGAGGATGCTCGGGGTGCATCTCGGTGTCCAATGCACACGGCAGGTGGGATATAGGGAGGCTCATGGTGGGGCGATTCACTCTCAGGGACGCTAGGCTCTGGGAAGAAGGGGAAGGGGTCGTGCTGCAGATAGCGAGGGGGCGAGGACGCTCGGGGGGCATCCCGGTGCCCAATGCACACAGCACAGGGAGGCTGGGAGGGCTCAGAAGAGGTCAGGGGAGCCCCACAGGTAGCGGGGTACAGAGGCGAGGAAGTCCGGGAGGTGCTCTGGTGGCCTGGGTTATGGGAGGAAGAGGTGGCCCGTGAGGGCAAGTTGTACTGGGTGGGGCCAGAGGAGGACTGGGGTGGGTCATGCTGGGCTGGCCGACTGGGAGATGAAGTCTGAGGCCTGTCACCTTGGGTTGGCCGGAGGGCAATGGACGCCCAGGGAACCTCGCTTTGCTTGGAGCGAGATGGGGAAGAGGTTCGGGGACCATCACTCTGAGTTGGCCGGAGGGGAAAGGAGGCCCAGGGGATGTCTTTGTTAATCCGATGGGGAGACGAATTCCTGGGAGTGTTCCGTTGAGTGGAGCGGTGGGGAGATGATGGTCTCAGATTCTCCTTTTGGGTGCAGTACTGAGAGGAGCTTCCAGGGTTGTCTGGTTGAAAGGAAAGGGAGTGTGTGTGGTCCCGTCGTGTACAAGTGAGTCTGAGGCTATCCCATTTGGTAGAAGAAGTTTTAGGGTTGTCTTGTTGGGTAGAAGATGATCTGGGGGTGTTCTGTTGAATACAAGTTCTGGGGTTGTCCCTTTGGGTGGCTCTGATGGGAGAAGAGGCTCTGGGATTGTCCCGCTGGGCACAGGGTGTTCTGGGGTTGTCTCGTTGGGTGGTTCTGTTGGGAGAGGAGGTTCTGAGATCGTCCCGTTGGGTTGCTCTGATGGAAGAGGAGACTCTGGGATTGTCTCGTTGGGCACAGGGTGTTCTGGGATTGTCCCGCTGGGTGGTTCTGTTGGGAGATGAGGCTCGGAGATCGTCCCGCTGGGCACAGGGTGTTCTGAGGTTGTCCCGTTGGGTGGCTCTGATGGGAGAGGAGGCTCTGGGATTGTCTCGATGGGCACAGGGTGTTCTGGGATTGTCCCGCTGGGTGGTTCTGTTGGGAGATGAGGCTCTGGGGTTGTCCCGTTGGGCACAGGGTGTTCTGAGGTTGTCCCGTTGAGTGGTTCTGTTGGGAGATGAGGCTCTGAGATCGTCCCGTTGGGCATATTGTGTTCTGGGGTTGTCTCTGATGGGAGATGAGGCTCTGGGATTGTCCCGTTGGGTGGCTCTGTTGGGAGAGGAGGCTCTGGGATTGTCCCGCTGGGCACAGGGTGTTCTGGGGTTGTCTCTGATGGGAGAGGAGGCTCTGGGATTGTCCCGCTGGGCACAGGGTGTTCTGGGGTTGTCTCTGATGGGAGAGGAGGCTCTGGGATTGTCTCGCTGGGCACAGGGTGTTCTGGGGTTGTCTCTGATGGGAGAGGAGGCTCTGGGATTGTCCCGCTGGGCACAGGGTGTTCTGGGGTTGTCTCTGATGGGAGAGGAGGCTCTGGGATTGTCCCGCTGGGCACAGGCCGTTCTGCGATTCTCTCGTTGGGTAGTTCTGTTGGGAGAGGAAGGTCTGGGATTGTCTTGTTGGGCACAGGGTGTTCTGGGGTTTTCCTGCTGGGGAGTACAAGCAGGAAAAGAAGTTTGGGGGTTGTCCTGCTGAGTAAAAGAGGTTTTGGGGTTATCTTGTTGGGTGGCTCTTAGGGGAGAAGAAAGTTGAGGATTATTTTGTTGGTTAGATGAGGTTCTGGGGTTATCCTGTTGGGTGCTTCGTGAGGGAGCGGAAGCTCTGGGGGTGTTCCGCCGTGTGGATGAGGCCCTGGAGGTATCCTGCTGTGTGGATGAGGCCCCGGGGCCATCCCTTTGGGTGATTTGGTGGGGAGAGGAGGCTCGGGCGGTGTCAGGCTGTGTAGAGACAGCCTGGGCAACTGTCCCTTTGGCCAGGGGAAGTCTGGGGGGTGGTGCTTCGAGGTCCACTGTGTGGTGTCATGGAGGAAGCCTGGGTCAGTGGTGACCGGTGCTGCCCCAGGGAGAAGTACCCGCTTTCTCCCCGGAGCTTTGCCCAGTGCTGTCCTGCGCTCCGGCCCCCACCGCCGGTGTCTGGAGAGAGAAGAGAGAGGCTCAAGGTAAGGCGAGGGGTCCAGACAGCTCTCATATTCCACCTTTCTTTGTCGCCTAGGACCAGTGATTAGGGCAGACCCCACACCCTCCTCTTACAGGCCTCTGTCTGTACCAAGTGACTCCACCTCTCTGACCAAGGCTGGTTAGACAAGGGCTTGGATGCCTCTCTCAAGATGAGATCAAGAATTTGAAACTGGTCGGGCTCGGTAGCTCACACTTGTAATCCCAACACTTTGGGAGGCCAAAGTGGGTGGATCACCTGAGGTCAGGAGTTTGAGACCAGCCTGGCCAACACAGTAAAACCCCATCTCTTGGCCGGGCGCGGTGGCTCAAGCCTGTAATCCCAGCACTTTGGGAGGCCGAGGCGGGTGGATCACAAGGTCAAGAGATCGAGACCATCCTGGTCAACATGGTGAAACCCCGTCTCTACTAAAAATACTAAAAATTAGCTGGGCATGGTGGCGTGTGCCTGTAATCCCAGCTACTCAGGAGGCTGAGGCAGGAGAATTGCCTGAACCCAGGAGGCGGAGGTTGCAGTGAGCCGAGATCGCGCCATTGCACTCCAGCCTGGGCAACAAGAGCGAAACTCCATCTCAAAAAAAAAAAAAAAAAAAAAAAAAAAGGAGCTGGCTCCTCCTCTCTCTCTTGCTTCAGCTTGTACCTTGCGATGTGCAGGCTCCCCCTTCACTTTCCACCATGATTGTAAGCTCCCTGAGGCCTCACCAGAAGCAGATGCCAGCACCATGCTTCCAGTACAGTCTGTAGAACCATGAGCCAAAAAAAATTATTTACAAATTACCCAGCCTCAGCTCAGGTATTTCTTTCTTTCTTTCTTTCTTTCTTTTTTTTTGGGGGGGAGCTCAACCTCACCTCACTACGACCTCTGCCTCCCAGGTTCAAGAGACTCTCCTGCCTCAGCCTCCTGAGTAGCTGGGACTACAGGCACCCACCACCACACCAGGCTAATTTTTGTATTTTTGGTAGAGACGGGGTTTCACCATGTTGGCCAGGCTGGTCTCGAACTCCTGACCTCAGGTGACCCACCCACCTTGGCTTCCCAAAGCGCTGGAATTACAGGCATGAGCTGCCATGCCCGGCCAGGTATTTCTTTATAGCAACGCAAGAATGAACTAACACGATACCTATCTACCTACCCACACCTACCTATCATTGATCCATTTTGTTGACCCATGTGAGAGGGGCAGTTGAAGCCATCATGACACTTCCCTAATGCCTCTAAGAACAAGGACATTTTCCTTCTCATCCACAATGTCATTTCACACTCAGGAAACAGAACATCAATACAATCCTGTGATCTAACATGCAGTCCATATTCAAATTACCCGAGTTAGCCAGGCAAGGTGGCTCACATCTGTAATCCCAGCACTTTGGGAGGCCAAGGCGGGTGGATCACCTAAGGTCAGGAGTTTGAGACCAGCCTGACCAACATGGCGAAATCCTGTCTCTGCTAAAACAAAAAGTTAGCTGGAGGCGGTGACAGGCATCTGCAATCCCAGCTACTCAGGAGGCTGAGGCAGGAGAACTGCTTGAACCCGGGAGGCAGAGATTGCAGTGAGTGGAGACTGAGCCACTGCACTCCAGCCTGGGTGACAGAGCAAGACTCCATCTCAAAAAAAAAAAAAAAAAGTTGTCAGGCTCAGTGGCTCACGCCTGTAATTTCAGCACTTTGGGAGGCCAAGCTGGGCAGATGATGAGGTCAGCAGATCGAGACCATCCTGGCTAACACAGTGAGACCCCACTTCTACTACAAATACAAAAAATTAGCCAGGCATGCGCCCATAGGCCCAGGTACTCAGGAGGCTGAGGCAGGAGAATCTCTTGAACCCAGAAGGCGGAGGTTGCAGTGAGCCGAGATCGCACCACTGCACTCTAGCCTGGGCAACAGAGCGAGACTCCATCTCAAAAAAAAAAAAAAGTAATAAGTTTCCCCAGTTGTCCCAATAACATCTGCCACAGCTCTGTCTCCTCCTGTCCCAGATCCCACTGGGCTCACACATGGCATTCCGTGTCCTTGTCTCCTTAGTCTCTTTTAGTCAGGAACATCCTCTATTCCCTTTTTCGCCCTATGGATAGTCCAATCATTTTGCAGAATGTCTTTGAATTCAGGTGTGTTTGATGTTTCACTGGGGTGAGGTGCAGGCAATGCATTTTCAGCAGGACGAATTACAAGGGAAGGGATTCCATGCCCACCCCAGCATCCCCACCCCCGACCCCATGCATCACATCAGGGGGCATCGGATGTCGGTTTGCCCCACTCTGGGGATGCTAAGCAGCCACTTGCTGAAGGTGGTATCTGCCCACTCTCCCCAGCCTAAGGGTACCTTTTTCTCTCAGTAACTGACACAGAATCTGAGGGGTGATTCTTGGAGACCATGACTATCCTGTTTCCTGACAACCTACCACCCTAGGGATTTCCCATTTGCCGGCGATTCAGGCATGAACCAGTTATTGCTACAGCGGCCACAGCAGCCTCTGAACTGGTTTCTCATCCTTCAGCCCCGCCCTGCTCCAATTCATCCTTTGTACCTTTGCCCTAAGGAACTTCCTAAGACACAGTCCAATGGCATGCCTTTCTGCCTCAAAAACCTTCGAGCCGGGCACGGTGGCTCAAGCCTGTAATCCCAGCACTTTGGGAGGCTGAGGCGGGCGGATCACGAGGTCAAGAGACCGAGACCATCCTGGTCAACATGGTGAAACCCCGTCTCTACTAAAAATACAAAAAATTAGCTGGGCATGGTGGTGCGTGCCTGTAATCCTAGCTACTCAGGAGGCTGAGGCAGGAGAATTGCCTGAACCCAGGAGGCGGAGGTTGCGGTGAGCCAAGATCGCGCCATTGCACTCCAGCCTGGGTAACAAGAGCGAAACTCCGTCTCAAAAAAAAAAAAAAAAGCCGGGCGCGGTGGCTCAAGCCTGTAATCCCAGCACTTTGGGAGGCCGAGGCGGGTGGATCACGAGGTCGAGAGATCGAGACCATCCTGGTCAACATGTGAAACCCCGTCTCTACTAAAAATACAAAAAAACTAGCTGGGCGTGGTGGCGCGTGCCTGTAATCCCAGCTACTCAGGAGGCTGAGGCAGGAGAATTGCCTGAGCCCAGGAGGCGGAGGTTGCGGTGAGCCAAGATCGCGCCATTGCACTCCAGCCTGGGTAACAAGAGCGAAACTCCGTCTCAAAAAAAAAAAAAAAAAAAAAAAAAAAAAAACCTTCGGTGGCTCCCTACTACTTAGAGAAGAAAGTCCAAACTCCTTAGCTATGGCCAGGCATGACGGCTCACTCCTGTAATCCCCAGCCAGGAATTTGAAACAAGCCTGACCAACATGGTGAAACCCCATCTCTACTAAAAATACAAAAATTAGCCAGGTGTAGTGGCGGGCACCTGTAATATCAGTTACTTGGGAGGCTGAGGGAGAAGAATTGCTTAAACTGGGTGTTAGGGTTCCAACAAGTCAGGCCCATAGACACCCCCCCACTATTCCATTCTCCCCTGTTAAGCCAAGCTTATAACAGAAACAGCCTCAGGCCTTGTAAACAGGGCACCTAGGTTCCAGGATGTGACCGCATCTGGCTCTTGGATTCACAATGTTGACCCAGTTAAGCAGGATGTCAGCCCCCGAGAACCAAAATGAAGTTTTTCTTAGAACAGCACCTGGCTACCTGCAAACCCCTCTATAGACCCCCCATAGTGTGTAAGCCAGGCTGCTGCCTTCATTGCCTGTGGTGAGACAGCCTGGCAGGTTGAAATAAACTTGCTAAACCCAACCCTGGGTCTGCCTCTCCCTGCTTTTGGTCAACCTTACACTGGGGAGGCAGAGGTTGCAGAAAGCCGAGATTGCGCCACTGCACTCTAGCCTGGGTGACAGAGTGGGACTCTGTCTCAAAATAATAATGATAAAATAATAATAATAATAATAATAATAAAGTGGGTAGCATGGCTCATTGTGGCTGCTCCATCATGACAGGGAACTCTATTATTATTATTTTATTTATTTATTTTATTTATTTATTTATTTATTTTTTTTTGAGACAGAGTTTCGCTCTTGTTACCCAGGCTGGAGTGCAATGGCACGATCTCAGCTCACCGCAACCTCCGCCTCCTGGGTTCAGGCAATTCTTCTGCCTCAGCCTCCTGAGTAGCTGGGATTACAGGCACGTGCCACCATGCCCAGCTAATTTTTTGTATTTTTTCAGTAGAGATGGGGTTTCACCACGTTGACCAGGATGGTCTCGATCTCTCGACCTCGTGATCCACCCGCCTCGGCCTCCCAAAGTGCTGGGATTACAGGCTTGAGCCACCGCGCCCGGCCTATTTATTTATTTTTTTAAGATGGAGTCTCACTCTTTTGCCCAGGCTGGAGTGCTGTGTGCGGCACAGTCTCGGCTCACTGCAAACTCTGCCTCCTGGGTTATCCACCTCCCGCCTCTCCTGCCTCAGCCTCCCAATAAGCTAGGATTACAGGCACTGCCACCACGCCCAGCTAATATTTTATATTTTTGGCAGAGATGAGGTTTCACCATGTTGACCAGGCTGGTCTCAAACTCCTGACCTCATGATCCACCCACCTCAGCCTCCCAAAGTGCTGGGATTACAGGTGTGAGCCACCGTGCCCGGCTGGAACTGTTACTATTATTAACACTCAGGCCACCAAAGTAAGCCATGCACAGGGTCCCAAATGGCCAGTGAGATGGCTATGTGGGGAGCCCCATGCCATCACATACCCACGAGCATGGGAACGAACCTGGCAGAACTCACCCTCCTTTTTCTGGCCTGCAGCATCTCCTCTCACAGAGGATCTGGTGAGGAGAGATGGAGCCCGTTGGGAGCTGTAGGCTCTCGGCCCATCCTGAGGCTGCCTCGGGATCATCACTTCGAGCTCGTCCCAGCTGAGGGCCTCCTCCTGCCTCTCGGCAATGTCCCAGTCCTGCCAGAGAAGGGGAGGAGAAAGTATATTTGCAGAAGAAAGGCTCCAGGACATGCAGTTCCTGAATGAGAGGGTGGAAGAAAGGGAAAGGAACTGACATTAAAAAACACTTCCCGGCCAGGCGCGGTGGCTCACGCCTGTAATCCCAGCACTTTGGGAGGCCGAGGCGGGTGGATCACGAGGTCGAGAGATCGAGACCATCCTGGTCAACATGGTGAAACCCCGTCTCTACTAAAAGTGCAAAAAATTAGCTGGGCATGGTGGCGCGTGCCTGTAATCCCAGCTACTCAGGAGGCTGAGGCAGGAGAATTGCCTGAGCCCAGGAGGCGGAGGTTGCGGTGAGCCGAGATCGCGCCATTGCACTCTAGCCTGGGTAACAAGGGCGAAACTCCGTCTCAAAAAAAAAACAAAAAACAAAAAACACTTCCCGGCCAGGCGCGGTGGCTCACGCCTGTAATCCCAGCACTCTGGGAGGCCATGGCGGACGGATCACGAGGTCAAGAGATCGAGACCATCCTGGCCAACATGGTGAAACCCCGTCTCTACTAAAAAAATACAAAAATTAGCTGGGCATGGTGGTGTGTGCCTGTAGTCCCAAGTACTTGGGAGGCTGAGGCAGGAGAATTGCTTGAACCCGGGAGGCGGAGGTTGCAGTGAGCTGAGATCGCGCCACTGCACTCCAGCCTGGCACTGGTGACAAAGCAAGACTCTGTCTCAAAAAAAAAAAAAAAAGAGATTGAGACCATTCTGGCCACCATAGTGAAACCCCATCTCTACTAAAATACAAAAATTAGCTGGTCATGGTGGCACGTGCCTATAATCCCAGCTACTTGGCAGGCTGAGGCAGGAGAATTGCTTGAACCTGGGAGGCGGAGGTTAGCAGTGGGCCAAGATCATGCCACTGCACTCCAGCCTGGCGCCTGGCAACAGAGCAAGACTCTGTCTCAAAAAAGAAAAAAAAAAAAAATTAGCTAGGCGTGGTGGTGCATGCCTGTAGTCCCAGCTACTCAGGAGGCTGAGGTTGGGGGATCGCTTGGGTCCAGGTCAACGCTGTAGTGAGCTGTTTTTGCATCACTGCACTCCAGCCTGGGCAACAGAGAGAAACCCTGTCTCAATCAATCAATTAAATAAAAAGCATGTGCTGTTAGCCTGGCACTGTGCTGGGCTCTAGCAGGTGCTAAGTGCTAAGTCACTCACCTTCAATAAACCTGGGAGACATGCATGTCCACTGAAGCCAAGAGCTTTCCCCAGAGTCCCAGAGTTCTGCATTCAGGACTGCGTGAGACTCCCCAAGGGGCCAGAGAGAAGTGGGTTCAAATCCTAGCCCCAACACTTCCCAGGTGTGTAGCCTCCACTAGGTAGCTCCCCTCTCTGAGCCTCAGCCCCATGTGGGGCCATCGGAGCCTCCGCCTCCAAGGGTGTGGTGGGTCTCCCCTGAGCCCACACCCACCAAGCCCTTAGGAAGGAGAAGCTGGGTTGGTTTTGTTTTGTTGTGTTGTATTTTGTTTTGTTTTGTTTCTGAGAAGGAGTCTTGCTCTACTGCCCAAGCTGGTGTCTAGTGGTGTGATCTCGGCTCACTGCGACCTCCACCTCCCGGGTTCAAGGGATTCTTCCTGCCTTGGGATCCTGAGTAGCTGGGATTACAGGCACCCGCCACCATGCCCAGCTAATTTTTGTATTTTTAGTAGGGACGGGGTTTCACCATGTTGGTCAGGCTGGTCTCGAACTCCTGACCTCGTGATCCGCCCACCTTGGCCTCCCAAAGTGCTAGGATTACAGGTGTGAGCCACCTCACCCGGACTGGTTTGTTTTATTCTGAAACTTATCACCACCCCTGTCACTTTCCTTTGGGGGGTCTCCTGGGACAAGCCTGTCTCTCCTGCTCTGTGGCAGCCCCTCAAAGTGCAAATGCTTGAGGAAAGACTCCTGGGTCTTCTCTTTTCATAGCTAAATGACCCCCGCAGCCTGCTCCCTTTCCTATGTCCCTTGGAAATCTATGCCAGGGCTGGTCATGGGGCTCAGCACTGTGTGGCAAGGGCAGGGCCCTGGGGTTCTGTGCCACTCTTGCTCTAGACACTGTGCCCAATGTCCCAGCCCTCTGGGACCTGAGAGTGTGTGGCAGCCCGAGCCTGCTGGTGATTCACCCGGAGCTCCTGTTGGCTGAAACTCTTCACAGCCAGCCTCCAGCTGCCCTGGGCCAGCCTGTGCTGAAACTCCCACCCTCCAGGGGTTCACCGGGGTGGCCCGAGGTGCCAGCTAATGGTCCAGAGGACCTCACCGGCTTTCCAGTATGAGGCTCGACCCTGGCCTGCAGTTGAGGCAGGACCCAGGGCTGGAGTCGGTGGCATGGGCCCCTCTCGTCTCCCCATCTCCCGCTGCTGGCTCACCACAAAGGACGAGCTGCTGGTATCATCAGGGGTGGCAGAGTCAGGGCTGGAGCTGGGGTCACAGCTGGGGTTCTCGTTGCTGCTGCCTTGCAGGGGAGAGGTCAGGCCCTGCAGATAGGGTGCCGCCTCAAGCTCCTGGGTCCTGCTCCTGGGGGTGGCTGTGGGGCCCTCTTCCAGGAGCCCTGCTGACGGGGATGGGGCCCTGGGAGAAGAGACAGACCCATGACTTTTTCCCAAAAAGTAATGGGGAGTTAGGAGTACCCCTCACCCCACCCAGGCATACACACTCACTCACAAAGGGAGCCTGGGGCCCACACACTGCACATGCTGGTGTGGGAGGGGGAGCCAATGCCGAGGGCTGCCTCTGTGTCTGGCTTTTTATATGGGTTGCCTCGATGAGCTAAAACAACATCCCTTTAAAGTAAGTATAATAATTCCCATTTTAGGCTGGGCATGGTGGCCTCCATCTGCAATCCCAGCACTTTGGGAGGTTGAGATGGGCAGATCACCTGTGGTCAGGAGTTCGAGACCAGCCTGGTCAACATGGTGAAACTCCATCTCTACTAAAAACACAAAAATTAGCTGGGCACGGTGTCATGCGCCTGTAATCCCAGCAGCTTTGGAGATTGAGGCAGGAGAATTGCTTGAACCCGGGAGGCGGAGGTTGCAGTGACCTGAGATTGTGCCGCTGCACTCCAGCCTGGGCAACACCATGAGACTCCATCTCAAAAACAAATAAATAAAAATACAAAAATTAGTCAGGTGTGGTGGCGCATGCCTGTGATCCCAGCTACTCGGGAGGCTGAGGTTGCAGTGAGCCAAGATCTTGCCATTGCACTCCAGCCTTGGTTATAGAGCAAGATTCCATCTCAAAATAATAATAATAATAATGATTCCCATTTCAGAGAGGTCAAGAGACTGGCTGAGGTCACAGAGAAAGGAAAGGGCAGAGCTGTGTTATGAACGAAAACTATTGCCCCAGCCCCAATTTTCAACCGAAAGTGGAGCTCCTTCTCCAAGTTAGTCTTAGTCTACTGACCCCAAGCTCAGTAAGTCTAAGAAGACATGGCCAGGTGCAGTGGCTCATGCCTGTAATACCAGCACTTTGGGAGGCTGAGGCGGGTGGATCACCTGAGGTTGGGAGTTCGAGACCAACCTGACCAACATGGAGAAATCCCGTCTCTACTAAAAAATGCAAAAACATTAGCTGGGTATGATGGTACATGCCTGTAATTCCAGCTACTCGGGAGGCTGAGGCAGGAGAATCACTTGAACCCGGGAGGCAGAGATTGCAGTGAGCCAAGATCGTGCTATTGCATTCCAGCCTGGGTAACAAGAGTGAAACTCCATCTTGATTAAAAAAAAAAAAAAAAAAGGCTGGGCGCAGTGGCTCAAGCCTGTAATCCCAGCACTTTGGGAGGCCGAGGCGGGTGGATCACGAGGTTGAGAGATCGAGACCATCCTGGTCAACATGGTGAAACCCCGTCTCTACTAAAAATACAAAAAACTAGCTGGGCATGGTGGCGCGTGCCCGTAATCCCAGCTACTCAGGAGGCTGAGGCAGGAGAATTGCCTGAGCCCAGGAGGCGGAGGTTGCGGTGAGCCGAGATCGTGCCATTGCACTCCAGCCTGGGTAACAAGAGTGAAACTCCGTCTCAAAAAAAAAAAAAAAACCAAAAAAACAAACAAACAAAAAAAGGAGACAGACTCATGCTGGGCTAATGAGGATGTGAGAGGCAGCACGCTCCACGGGCAGTGACAGGTTCACCAGCCTGGATGCTGAAGGAGGGAGCTGCTGAGAAAGCCCTGCTTTAAAAGAAGCCACAGGCTCAAGAAGGCTTAGTGCTGACAGGATCCCCAAAGAGTGACCCACAGATTGGCCTACATGATGATAAGTGCTGACCATAAAAAGAGCTCTGTAGTCAAATGATATACTTTTCTACCTCCCTTACCTAAAAGCCACAGTGCACACAGGCAAGCTAAAGGCTCTGACAAGTCCTGCAGGAAAGCTATTCAACTGCATTTATCCCAGACTTTCTGAAACATACTTGATAGCAAAGTTGTCTTTGAGGGTTTTTTTTTTTTTTTTTTTTTTTGAGACGGAGTCTCGCTGTATCACCCAAGCTGGAGTATAATAGCACCATCTCAACTCACTGCAACCTCTGCCTCCTGGGTTCAAGCAGTTCTCCTGCCTCAGTCTCCTGAGCAGCTGGGATTACAGGAACCTGCCACCATGCCCGGCTAATTTTTGTATTTTTAGGAGAGACGGGGTTTCACCATGTTGGTCAGGCTGGTCTTGAACTCCTGAGCTTAAGTGATCCACCCACCTTAGCCTCCCAAAGTGCTGGGATCACAGGTGTGAGCCACCTTGCCCTGTTTTTTTTTTTTTTTTTTTTTTTGTATGTTTGTTTTTAACATGCCTACCCATGAGGAGCACCTAATCACAGTGCAGTGCTGATTTGATTCAAGCCCTTTTATTTTACAGACAGGAAAAATGAGACACAGAAAGACAGAGTAACTTGCTCAAGATCCAGCAGGGATGAATCTTAAGCTGGGACCCAGGTTTCTAGACACTCAGGCCATGGCCTCCCAAGGTACCATGACCCTAAAGGAAGACTTCCGCTTGGGCCTGAGGATGGAAGGAACCCCAGAGCCTGGAGCAGTGCACACCCAGGTAGGTGGGTGACAGCAGGTGCCCCTGGGTGCAGGGACTATTTAATCTTTAAAGCTGTGCGAAGGGAACCAGCAAATGTGAGCAGGATGTGGCCATGCCCACTGCAAGGTGGGTACACAGCAGCCACACACCCAGCTGAGCGAGGTCTTGGAAGGTTATGGGGTGGGCAGGGCCCCTGGGAGAGACAGCCAGGGTTGGGGAGGGGAGGCTCAGCCACCCAGGTGCAAGCACAGTGGTGTGATCTGAGTTCTTCTGTGGGCCTGAGGAGCACGCCCACCTCCTGCCTGTGCCTAGGCTTGGAGGACTGAGCACATGACCCATGCCAGCAGCCATTAGATACAGGCGCTGCCTTGGGGAAGGAGCGCAAGTGGGAAGGGTGAGGGTGTTCCACCCGACAAAGATCTTCCCCGAGCCCTGGGGCTCTACCCACCTCTTGGGGCCTGGCCTGAGGCCTGGGTCCACCACAGGCTGGCAGCTGGAGGTTGAGGAGCTAAGTGGGTCCTCAGGGACTGGTGGGCATCGAGGCAGGTCGCAGTAGGGCACCTCAGCAGCCGAAGGGCTCCTGAGCTCCTGGACCAGGGTTGGAGAGAGGAGGCAGCTCAGAGCCCACGTGGGTGCTCCCCTCCCCCTGCACAGCCCCTCCCGGCACTGGGCAGTGTGGGAGTCTCCAGGCGTCTCCTCCAGGGATCTCACACTTCCCAAGGAGCTGCCCATCAGGCAGGAAGCGCCCCTTGGGACTCAAGCCGAGGGCTGGTCGAGGCGCCTGGTGTGTGCATGCACACGTGTGTATACATATGATGGGCCTTGGAGCAGGTATGTGTATGGATAAAGGCCTGGTATTGGGGGCACACGTGTGCACATGGCATCGAGAGCTCTCGTGCATGCACGTCTCTGCAGTTCCCGAGGGTACACTGATCTGTATGTTTGCATAATTTTAAGTTATGTATACATGCATGTGTGTGTGTGCGCCCCAGAATGAGCTGGATAGAAGGATCCATCAGGTTCTTTTCTGGCCAAAAGACAAAGCTGAGGAGGAAGGATTCAGTGGGCTGAGAGAAGGGAGAGGTCTGAGGGAGGAAGAGGCGGTTTGATGGTGGAGGAGATGGGAAAACAAGGCCTTGGAGTACAGAAGAGATTTGCCCCACTAACAGAGAAGCAGGGGCTCCAGGGCTGGAGGGTCAAGGCCCAGGAAAAGGGCGGGGGCCTGGAGCCAGCTGCCCACTCCTCTCTCCCTCCGCCCTCGGGAAGCCACACCTATGAAGGCTGGTCTGGTGCTGGGCTCACCAAGGGGGAATGGCTGCTCACCTCCAGGGTCCCCTCCCCATTCCTCCCCACCTCGGGAGAGCTGCAGGTCCCTCCCCTGGTGGTGGGAGACAGTGGCCATGTCACCCTGCGCCCCGCCTCCTCTCGGATTACCTGGGCTGCGGGCTCTGGCGGTGGTGGCGGCTGTCGGCTGTCAGCACCCTTGTCCCCGGGGGGCTCCGGCTCAGGCCCCCACGCTGCCGCCTTCCCAGGCCCCGACTCCAGGCCGTGGTGGCAGCAGCAGCTGAGGCAGTGGAAACCTTAGAGGGACTGGCTTCGGGAGCAGGGGCCCCTCATTACTGTTTCATAAGCCAGGGCCCGGCCAAGAACAATGTGGGACATGAAACCGCAGGAACCCGATCCCAGCAGCTCACCTGAGAGCTAGGAGGGGCAGGAGCCTGGGCATGGGATCCCTGGGGATCCTGGAGTCCAGAGCCCAGGGCCAAGGCAGCAGCCTGGTCGGCACCCTGGGGTGGGCACAGGCTCTCCAGGTTCCAACAAGGCAACTGCTAAGGGACGGGCGGTGCCAAGGATTAGGGCTGGGGTGTCTGCTGTGACAGCCAGGCCAGGGGAGGCCCAGCAGGATTCAGTTTCGCCCCCTGCCCTGCGGTCAGATTCTGATCAGAGCTCGGCAGCAGGAGGTGTCAGATCCACAGCCGGGCCTGGCGCCTTGGCCACCCAGGGGACACCACAGCAGAAATGAGGAAGGAGAGGCACTCTAGGCATCAGCCAGGGGTCTCTGGCCTGCCAAGCCCAGCAGGAGCCCTAGCTTGATGTGACATCTCATCCTGGCTTTCACCCCAGCCCCCATCGCCACCCACCACCCGCTCGAACGTGCCCCCTGGTCAGTCGCCAGCTCTGATTTCCTATCTGGCGGGTCAGCACTGGCTCTGGCCTCAGATGGACCTCAGTCCGCATCCTGGCTCCTCCACTTCCCCGCTGGTGACCTCAGGCCGATAACTTCCCCTTTGGGAGCCTTGTTTTCTCCTCTCTGAAATGGAGGCTGAGGTATGACCAAGAGCTGGGCCATGTGACGTATCCTCTCTGTGCCTCAGTTAGCTCATCTACAAAACCAGCAGGACAGCAGGACCCACCTCCTGCGGGTGTTCTGAGAATTAAATGAGTTAATATTTGTAAAGGGCTTTCTTCTTCTTTCTTTCTTTTCTTTTTTGAGGAAGTCTTCCTCTTGTCGTCCAGGCTGGAGTGCAATGGTGCAATCTCGGTTCACTGCAACCTCCGCCTCTGGGGTTCAAGCAATTCTTCTCCTGCCTTAGCCTCCCCAGTAGCTGGGGTGACAGGTGCCTGTTACCATGCTCAGCTAATTTTTTTTTGACCAAGTTTCACTCTTGTTGCCCAGGCTGTAGTGCAATGGCTCAATCTCAGATCACTGCAACCTTTGCCTCCTGGGTTCAAGCAATTCTGCCTCAGTCTCCCGAGTAGCTGGGATTACAGGCATGTGCCACCACACCTGGCTAATTTTGTATTTTTAGTAGAGATGGGGTTTCTCCATGTTGGTCAAGCGGGTCTTGAACTACCAACCTCAGGTGATCCACCTGCCTTGGCCTCCCAAAGTGCTGGGATTACAGGTGCGAGCCAGTGCACCTGGCTAATTTTTGTATTTTTAATAGAGACAGGGGTTTGCCAGTGTTGGCCAGGCTGGTCTCGAACTCCTGATAGCAGGTGATCAGCCTGCCTCAGCCTCCCAAAGTATTGAGATTACAGGTGTGAGCCACCCCACCCGGCCCATAAAGGGACCAATAGTGTCTGGTCTCAGCCTGGGCAGCAGAGCAAGACATTGTCTCTACAAAAAATTTTAAAAATTAGCTGGGTGTGGTGACGCATGCTTGTAGTCCCAGCTATCTGGAGGCTGAGGCGGGAGTATTGCTTGAGCCTGATGAGTTATGATTTTGCCATTGCACTCCAGCTTGAAAGACAAATGAGACTCTGTCTCAAAAAAAAAAAAAAAAAAAAAAAAAAAACACCAAAAAAAAAAACCTTAAATATAACAAGTTATGTAAGAATATTAAATAAAATTTGATAAATGTTAAACTGGCAGAATAATGTTAAATACTGTTAAGAATAAATAGTCGGGCACAGGGGCTCACATCTGTAATCCCAGCACTTTGGGAGGCTGAGGGAGATGGATCACAAGGTCAGGAGTTTGAGACCAGGCTGAGCAAGATGGTGAAACCTCGTCTCAACTAAAAATAAAAAAAGAAAATTAGCTGGGCACAGTGCTACACGCCTGTAGTTCCAGCTACTCGGGAGGCTGAGGCAGAAGAATTGCCTGAACCCAGGAGGTAAAGGTTGCAGTGAGCCAAGATCATATCACTGCACTCCAGTCGGGGCGACAGAGCGAGACTCCATCTCAAAAAAACAAAAAGATGTCACAACTGGACCCAACCGTTTCTTCGCTGAGCTCAAGGAGACACCTTTATCAGGCTCATGGAGGTAAGTCTGCACCCAGTATAGGTGCATAGGGATCATAGCTGCAGCAAAGCTGGGGATGGTTTTGTTTTTTTGAGACAGGGTCTCACTCTGCTACCCAGGCTGGAGCGCAGTGGTGCGATCACAGCTCATTGCTGCCTTCCCAGGCTTAAGTGATCCTCCCACCTCATCCTAGTGAGGAGCGAGGATGACAGGCTCCTGCCAGCAGGCCCTGCTAATTTAAAGAAATGTTTTCTTTCCTTTTTTTTTTTTTTGAGAAGGAGTTTCGCTTTTGTTGCCCAGGCTGGAGTGCAGTGGCACACTCTCAACTCACTGCAACCTCTGCCTCCCGCGTTCAAGCGATTCTCCTGCCTCAGCCTCCTGAGTAACTGAGATTACAGGCACACATCACCACACCTGGCTAATTTTTGTATTTTTTAGTAGAGATGGGGTTTCACCATGTTGGTCAGGTTGTTCTCCAACTCCTGACCTCATGATCCACCCGCCTAGGCCTCCAAAATTGCTGAGATTACAAGCATGAGCCACTGTGCCAGGCTTTTTTTTTTTGTTTTTGAGACGGAGTCTCGCTCTGTTGCCCAGGCTGGAGTGCAGTGGCACGATCTTGGCTCACTACAACCTCCACTTTTGGGGTTCAAGCAATTTTAACGCCACAGCCTCCTGAGTGTCTGGGACTACAGGTGCATACCACCATGCCTGGCTAATTTTTATATTTTTAGTAGAGGTGGGGTTTCGTCATGTTGCCCAGGGCTGGTCTCGAACTCCTGAATTCAAGTTGATCCACCTGCCTCGGCCTTCCAGAGTGCTGGGGTCATAGGCCTAAGCCACTGTGCCTGGCCTCCATTTTTTTTTTTTTTTTTTTTTTTTTTTTACATAGATTTTTTGACTCCATGTTGGAAATCTCTTGACCTAAAGCCAGGGGCAAATATAGCCAAGGGTCTAGAATCCTTGGAGGCAAAATGGGTTAAACTTGGTCCCTGGAGACCTGTTGTGACAGAGAGATGGGGAGACAGTGAGTGAGGCAGAGAGTCAGCCAGGGAGACCTGCCCTGACCCCAGCAGCAGCATCTGAGGGTGGCAGAAAAAATCCCACCCATTCCTTCAGTGCTGACCATGCAGCACCTTGGAATGGGTCCAAAGTGGTAAAGGAGTGAACAGGGAGGTAAGTGGAAAAGGCCGGAAGAGGGTGTACCATCTTCTGGGACCCATGGTCAGTTATTTTCGTTTTTTTTTTTTTTTTTTTTTTTTGAGACGGAGTTTCGCTCTTGTTGCCCAGGCTGGAGTGCAATGGCGCGATCTCGGCTCACCGCAACCTCCGCCTCCTGGGTTCAGGCAATTCTCCTGCCTCAGCCTCCTGAGTAGCTGGGATTACAGGCACATGCCACCATGCCCAGCTAATTTTTAGTATTTTTAGTAGAGATGGGGTTTCACCATGTTGACCAGGATGGTCTTGATCTCTTGACCTCGTGATCCACCCGCCTAGGCCTCCCAAAGTGCTGGGATTACAGGCTTGAGCCACCGCGCCCGGCGGTTTTTTTTTTTTTTTTAAACAAAGTTTTGCTATTATTGCCCAGGCTGGAGTGCAATGGAGCGGTTTTAGCTCACTGCAACCACCGCCTCCTGGGTTCAAGCGATTCTCCTGCCTCAGCCTCCCAAGTAGCTGGGATTACAGGTGCCTGCCACCACATCTGGCTAATTTTTGCATTTTTAGTAGAAACAGGGTTTCACCATGTTGGTCAGGCTGGTCTCAAACTCCTGACCTCAGGTGATCGGCCCGCCTCGGCCTCCCAAAGTGCTGGGATTACAGGTGTGAGCCACTGTGCCTGGCCCAGGGTTAGTTTCTTACTATCACATGTGGTACATAGGTGGTTGCCTGCCCAGAGTTGGGTCCCAGGGCCTGGCTCAGTGACACAAAGTCACCCTCATGCATTTGCAAAAGGAGAGTTTCACAGCCTTGAATCATTAAAGCAACCAGAAGCTCAAAAAGTGGAGGATTTGATGCAGTGGTCTTCTCCGATTCTTTTTTTTATTTTTTGAGACAGAGTCTTACCCTGGCAGTGGCCTGATCACAGTGCACTGCAGTCTCGATCTCCTGGGCTCAAACAATCTTCCTGCCTCAGCCTCCCAAGCAGCTGGGACTACAGGCGTGCACCACTACACCCAGTTAAATTTTTAGCTCTGTAGAGATAGGCTCTCACTGTGTTACCTAGGCTGGCCTTGAACTCCTGGTTTCAAGCCATCCTTCAGCCTCAGCCTCCTACAGTGCTGGGACCACAGGCAGGAGCCAATGTGCCTGGCCCCCTCTCTTACCTTGAAACCATCTCTGGCCTTGGCCCCTGGGGAGGAGGGGCCCACGGTGGGGTTTGCCTCCAAGCCTCTGTCCTTCTTGACTGTCTCTGCTGATTCCCTGGCCTTCACCCAGGCCTAGTCTCGTCTCATTCCACACTTTCCTCCGCAGACGATAGGCTCATCCGTGAGCAAGACTTCGGTCAGTGACAGAGCCTGAAGACTGGTAGGCCTCCGTCTCCCATGGCAGTCTGGCCCTGAGCTCCAGCCCCTCAATTCACTAACCTCCCCCTCATCTCCACTGTGTCCTACCCGCACCTCACACCATGCCCCAGATAGCGCCAGACAGACCTCCGAACCCAAGTATCCTGCCTGGAGAAACAACAGGAGTCAGCCATGGGTCTCCCCCTCCCCCACTCCCAGATCCTGCAGAAGCGCCTATTCAGTGAGTTCGGAAACGTGTCCATTTGCCACCATCTGAAAGCCCTGTCATCTCTGGCATGGATGAGTACATGCACCTTTTCCTGGCAGGTCACCTGATTCGCTCTCACCACTCTGCACTCCATTCTCTCTGCCCAGCAATCAGAGTGACTGTGAAAAATGCAAATCAGAGCACATCACTCCCTTATTTAAAAGCCATTGAAGAATGGCTTGCCCAGGCCAGGTGGCTCATACATGTAATTTCAGCACTTTGGGAGGCCAAGGAGGGTGGATCACTTGAGGCCAGGAGTTCAAGACCAGCCTCAACAGCATGGTGAAACCCCATCTCTACTAAAAATACAAAAATTAACTAGATATGCTGGGCGCGGTGGCTCACACCTGTAATCCTAGCACTTTGGGGGGCTGAGGCAAGCAGATCACCTGAGGTCAGAAGTTCAAGACCAGCCTGACCAATATGGTGAAACCCCGTGTTTAAAGAATAAATAGCCGGGTGCGGTGGCTCAAACCTGTAATCCCAGCACTTTGGGAGGCCGAGACGGGTGGATCACGAGGTCAAGAGATTGAGACCATCCCGGTTAACATGGTGAAACCCCGTCTCTACTACAAATACAGAAAATTAGCTGGGCATGGTGGCACGTGCCTGTAATCCCAGCTACTCAGGAGGCTGAGGCAGGAGAATTGCCTGAACCCAGGAGGCGGAGGTTGCGGTGAGCCGAGATCGCGCCATTGCACTCCAGCCTGGGTAACAAGAGCAAAACTCCGTCTCAAAAAAAAGAATCCTAAGTCCTCAGCATGTCTGCAAAGCCACACAAGGCCAGTCAGTGGGACCAGGCCCCCGATTCTCCATCCTTGTCCTATAGCTCCTCTGTGCCTCCCTCTGCGGCCTCTCCGGCCCCATGTGCAGCCTCCTTCCTCCTCAGGGCCTTTGCATATTCTTTTGTTTGTTTGTTTGTTTTGTTTTTGTTAGGGACAAACTGCCTCAGAAATCCCCCTCCGCGTAAGCTGATGCCTTCCCCGACTCTGATTGCTCTGCAGCTGCACTTCTGAACTCCTACCTAGGCGCCCCATCAAGGCCGCAAGTGATTATGGCCACCCGGGCAGCTCGGGGGAGGACAGGAAAACATAAGTTGTTTATCCATACTTATAAATTCCTGTTTGACACATATGTGTAAAAAATCCTGGTTTCTCTCTTTTTTTAAAAACTGCTGCCACAAAAGTCACAGGATGATGTATCGTAGGTCTGTTACAAGTTGACAAACTATCTCTGTGCCTGTTACAAGCTGATAGATTATCTCAGTCCTGAAACTCCCTTATGCGCCTCTCACCCCATATAAACCCCTCGTTTTATAAGCTCGGGGCTGCCTCCTCTGACTGTTACGGGGCTGGCGAATAAAACATGCTCGCCTGACTCTGAGGCTGCAGTGAGCCATGGCTGGACCACTGCCCTCCAGCCTGGACTATAGAGCAAGCCCTAACTACCAAAAAAAAAAAAAAAAAAAAAAAAAAAAAAAGAAAGAGAGAGAAAGAAAATCTCCAGCCAGTTCTGGTGTATTCTTAACATCTCTCTAACATCTGCTAATCTCCCTTTTTGACAAAGAGCCAACAGGATCAAGCTCAGAGCCTTCCATAGTAAACAGTCCCAGCTGGGCACGGTGGCTCACGCCTGTAATCCCAGCACTTTGGGAGGCCGAGGTGGGTGGATCACCTGAGGTCAGGAGTTTAAGGCCAGCCTGGCCAACATGGCAAAACCCCATCTCTACTAAAAAACACAAAATTAACCAGGCGTGGTGGTGGGCACCTGTAATCCCAGCTACTTGGAAGGCTGAGGCAGGAGGATCGCTTGAATCCAGGAGGCGGAGGTTGCAGTGATCTGAGATTTCGACATTGCCATTGCACTCCAGCCCGGGCAACAGAGCGAGACTCTGTCTCAAAAAAAAAAAAAAAAAGAAAAGAAAAGAAAACACTCTCGAGTTAGGATTTGATGACATTTCTGGTTTTTTGTTTGTTTGTTTGTTTGTTTGAGACGGAGTTTCGCTCTTGTTACCCAGGCTGGAGTGCAATGGCGCGATCTCGGCTCACCGCAACCTCCTCCGCCTCCCGGGTTCAGGCAATTCTCCTGCCTCAGCCTCCTGAGTAGCTGGGATTACAGGCACGCGCCACCATGCCCAGCTAATTTTTTTGTATTTTTAGTAGAGACGGGGTTTCACCATGTTGACCGGGATGGTCTCGATCTCTTGACCTCGTGATCCACCCGCCTCGGCCTCCCAAAGTGCTGGGATTACAGGCTTGAGCCACCGCGCCTGGTGACATTTCTGTTTTGATTTTTTTCTTTTTCTACCTTTTTTCTTAACCTTGTACTTACAGGAAATAATTCTAGTTTTCTACTTGTGGTGATGATGTGAAGTTTTGTTTCAAAAGAAGGGGAAAAAGATGTTGATTTAAAGAATAACAAAGTAATAATAGATTCAATGAGGCAATAGTAAAACTCATATAAGCAGGAAGAAAGTGAAGAGTGTAAAATATTCACATGGTTCAACCACGTCATTGTAATGTGGGAAAATTGAGGCTGTGGTCGGGGGGAAGGCCAGCATTTGGTTTAACTGCAAGTTAGTGGACAGGAGAGGCCCAGTCTGTCACCCATGTTCCCATCCCAAACCACCCCAACGATGTGGAAAACTGGCCCACCTGGTATCTTGCTCGATGGGCCTCCTCAGGGTGGAAGCAGTTTTGACAGTGGTTCTGGGTGAGCATGTTGGCCTCAAAGTGTTCACATGGAGCTCGCCCAGATACCTCCTCCATGTTGGGTGAGTCAGGCCAGGGCTGTTCCTGTGATCCAATGGCTGACCCTCTCGGTGAGGCCTTGGGAAAATGAGGGGGAGGCAAAGACCAGATGACTGGCTGGTCACTCACCTGAGCCCCAGCCCCAGTTGCCCCAGTTTCCAAACAAGGACCAGGGAAATAAGGTTACTCATCCATTCCTTTGGATGTTCCTGTTCTCCATTCATCCCTGTTCATTTAGCTCACTCAACAAACACTCACTAAGCACCCACTAAGCACCCAGGCACTCCCCTGCATTTGATGTGTGATTTCTAGTCCTTAATGCAGTGTTGCTGAAAGTGCATACCAAGGACTCTGCATTACACCCTCCTGGGCTGTTCATAAAAATGCAGATTCTAGGCCGGGCACCATGGCTGATGCCTGTAATCCCAGCACTTTGGAAGGCTGAGGTAGGCGGATCACTTGAGGTCGGAATTTTGAGACTAGCCTAGCCAATATGGTGAAACCCGACCTCTACTAAAATTATAAAAATCAATTGGGTGCGGTGGTGCATGCCTGTAATCCTAGCTACTTGGGAGGCTGAGGCAGCAGAATGGCTTGAACCTGGGAGGCGGAGGTTGCAGTGAGTCTAGACCTCACCATTGCACTCCAGCCTGGGCAACAGAATGAGACTCTGTCTCGAAAAAAAAAAAAAAAAATGCAGATTCCTGCTGGGCACAGTGGCTTGTGCCTGTAATCCCTGCACTTTGGTAGACCAAAGCGGGCAGATCACTTGAGCCCAAGAGTTCAAGACCAGCTTGGACAACTGGCAAAACCCCATCTCTACAAAAAATACAAAAATTAGCTGGGCAGGGTGGTACAGGCCTGTGGTCCCTGCTGCTCAGGAGGCTGAGGTGGGAGGATCATCTGAGTCTGGGAGGTCAAGGCTGCAGTGAGCCATGATTGTGCCACTGCACTCCAGCCTGGGTGACAGACTGAAAGCCTGTCTCAGGAAAAAAAAAATGCTGAGTAAGATGCTGTGGACCTGCAGTCTGAGCTACTCAGAAGCAGAGGCAGGAGGAGCTCTTGAGCCCAGGAGGTAATTGCTATAATTGCACCTGTGAATAGCTACAGCACTCCAGCCTAAACATAGTGAGACTCCATCTCAAAAAAAATATCTAGATTCCCCTTTCCCTCTCCCAGTCCACCCAGTCAGAATCTCTAGGGGAGTGAGGTCTGGGGCTGTGCATTTTAAAGAAGTGATTTCAGCCAGGGGCTCATGCCTGTAGTCCCAGCACTTTGGTAGCCTGAGGTGGATCGCTTGAGGCCAGGAGTTAGAGACCAGCCTGGCCAACATGGTGAGACCCCGCCTCTACTAAAAGTATGAAAATTAGCTGGGCGTGGTGCGCACCTGCAGTCGCAGCTACTTGGGAGGCAGAGCCACAAGAATCACTTGAACCTGGGAGGTGGAGGTCTTAGTGAGTGGAGATCGTGCCACTTCACCCCAGCCTGGGTAACAGAGAGAGACTTTATCTCAAAATAAGTAAATAGATAAAAATAAAAATAAAAAAGAAGTGATTCTCTAGGTGATTCTAATTCACCCCAAAGTTTGAGTGTCCTTGTCTTACAGCTACTCTGCATTGTAAATCAAATTAATCCTAATTTTAGATCAGGAAACTGAGGCTCCGAGAGGTTCCTTAGCTCCCTCAAGGTCACAGTGGCTGATTCCAAACCAGGTCCGTGTGTGTCCCTGCTCTCTCGGAGGTGGAAGTGAGGGGCACAGCGCCACACTGCCAACTCACACAGGTCCCTTGGGAAGCACAGGGAGGGCAGCAAAGGCCTGCCCAGGTATTTTCAGAGTTGAGGACAATGTCTTTGACAAAAGTGAACAGCCTAAGGTCACACAGCAAGTTGGTGGCAGAGCTTAGCCAAAAATAAGCCCTGGTGTCTCTTTTTGTTTTGTCTGTTTTTTTAAGACAGAGTCTCACTCTGTCACCCAGGCTGGAGTGCTGTGGTATGGTCTCGGCTCACTGCAACCTCCGCCTCCTGGATTCAAGCAATTCTCCTGCCTCGGCCCCCCAAGTAGTATCTGGGATCACAGGCATGCGCCATCACTCTGGATAATTTTTTTATTTTTAGTAGAGGCGGGATTTTGCCATGTTGGCCAGGCGAATTTCTGACCTCAGGTGATCCGCCTCCCTCGGCCTCCCAAAGTGCTGGGATTACAGGTGTGAACCACCATGGCCGGCCCTTGTTGTTTTTTGGGGGGTGGGGGCAGGGTGTTGCTCTGTGACTCAGGCTGGAGTACAGTGGCTTGATCACAGTTCATTGCAGCCTCAAACTCCCAGGCTCAAATGATCCTCCTGCCTCAGTATCCCCAATAACTGGGACCACAGGTGCATGCCACCATGCCCAGCTAATTTTTAAATGTTTTCTTCTGTAAAAACGGGACCTTGGCCAGGTGCAGTGGCTCACACCTGTAATCCCAGCACTTTGAGAGGCTGAGGGAGGCGGATCACTTGAGGCCAGGAGTTTGAGACCAGCCTGGCCAACATGGTGAAATCCTGTCTCTACTACAAATACAAAAACTAGCTGGGCGTGGTGGCACACACCTGTAATCTCAGCTACTCAGGAGACTGAGACAAGATAATTGCTTGAACCTGGAAGGTGGGGGTTGCAGTGGAGTCAAGATTGCCCTGCTGCACTCCAGCCTGGGCAACAGTGTCTCAAAAAAAAAAAAAAAAAAAAAAAAAAAAAAAAAAAAAAAAAAGGCTCTTGCTGTGTTACTAAGGCTGGTTTTGAACTCCTGAACTCCTGATCTCAAGTAATCCTTCCCCCTCAGCCTCCCAAAGTGCTGGGATTCGAGGTGTGAAGCATCACGCCCTTCTGAAACCCTGCTGTCTTCACTTGTGCAAGGGTTCTTCTTTCTGGGTGCCCCTGGGGGCTCCAACATCCATGCCCTGGAGTGAAACTGGGTCAGGAGAGTCTCTTAAAGATGCCCTCTCTACCCACACAAAGTCCCAGGGGAAGAGTGGGGGGTGGGAGGAAGGCAACATCCCAAAACACATGCAGCTTTTGGTGCCCCCAGGTCACCTGCCCACATCCATCTTCACCTGGTGCGTTCCAGGGGATCAGGCTTTTGTTGCCAGTCTTGGTGAGCTGAGGAATTTCACCTCCTCCCCTGGGACAGCCAGAGCCAGGGCAAGGCTCCGCTCCTCCACCATCAGACCTGGAGAAGGGAATGGGGTGGGGGCGACAGCACGGCACGGTGGGCAAAGGGGCACCCACTGGCCCCTCCGTGACCCCAGGGTCTCTGCTCTTCCCCAGACGGTTGTCCTCCCGACTCCTGGTGGTGGTGGAAGGGGAGGGGGGGCGCATCGGCCCCGCCCGTCCTGGGCGTTGCTCTCCTGGTCTGGCCACATAATGGAGCGTCCCCTAGCAGGAGGACGCCGCTCATTTTCCGGAGGGCGGGTAGGGGGATCTACTCCACGTGCCCCTCGCTGCTCCCGTTTTCTCCCCTACTCACAACCAATAGGCAGAATCCTTCTCTAAAATGCACTTGAGATGTGCATATAAAAATCAAAACCTTAAGCAGCTACGCATGCCCCACCCGGAGAATGGCCCCGGGACCCCTCTCCATCCAGCCATTCACCCAGTTCCTCCCAGCATCCCTCGATCCCTACCCCTCCCATGGGCCACCCCCAACCGGCTCCTCTTTTCCGCGGTCTAGTACTAACCTTGGCTGGGTTTCCACGCACAGGGGCTGCCGGGGAGGGAGTACCAGGGTCACGGCCTCTATTTTAACAATGAATCAGAGCGATGCTCGGGCGGTAGAAGGAGGGCACACCCCTGCCACGCTCGCCTAGGCGCTCTCTGGGTGCCTCATTTACATGAACACTGTGGGATTGGACAAGCCAGAGCAAGGGGCGGGGCGGAGGCGGGCGGGGCACGGATACCTCTAACCGCGGGACTCGCAGCACGTTTAGCCTGGGCAGCCTGCAGTCCTCGCCCGCTGGGAGACCCCAGGGAGCCCTCGAGAGGGCTGGCACTGGCGGATCTGGCTCCTTCTGACCTCTTTCCCGTTGGTTCTTTCTGGCGACAGTCCGCTGGGCTGGCTTTAGCACAGACCTTGGACTACAGTCTTAACAGTTTTCTTACCTGTAAATAAAGGAGACAGAGGCCGGGCGCGGTATCTCCTACGCCTGTAATCCCAGCACTTTGGGAGGCCGAGGTGGGCAGATCACTTGAGGTCGGGAGTTCGAGACCAGCCTGGCCAATATGGTAAAACCCGTCTCTACTAAAAATACAAAAATTAGCCGGGCGTGTTGGTGGGCGCCTGTAATGCCAGCTACTCGGGAGGCTGAGGCAAGAGAATCGCTTGAACCCAGGAGGTGGAGATTGCAGAGAGTTGCGATTGTACCACTGCACTCCAGCTTGGGTGACAGAGCATGCCTCTGTCTCAAAAAAAAAAAAAAAAAAAAAAAAAAAAAAAAAAAAAAAAAAAAAATTGGAGATAGTATAATACTACCTGTGAGGAAGAAATGAAAATGAAATAGTGGGAAGTCAGCCGGGAGCAGTGGCTCACGCCTATAATCCTAGCATTTTGGGAGGCCGAGGTGGGTGGATTACCTGAGGTCAGGAGTTCAAGACCAGCCTGGCCATCATGGTGAAACTCCATCTTTTAAAAGAAAAAAAAAATTTTTTTTAATAAAAAAATAAAAAGAAATAGTGGGAAGTCAAAAGTACGACATGTATCAGAACAAGTCCAGGCACCTAGTGAATCCTGAGTGGATGTACAATTCTAAAACTACAGCACCATGATTGTTATTTGCAGCCAGAGCTCCAGCGACTACCAAACATCCCTGGCCGAGGGTTTCCAACCTTCATTTGCACATGGCCATGGACTTGGAGCTCACTGGCAAAATGCAGTTTGTCCCCCTTTTAGGCTAACATTTATTCTGCACTGTCTGTATGCCAGTTCCCATTCTAAACCCTTTACATTCATGAGGGCATGGTAAGCTGAATTCATTACCAAGCTCCCCATTTCACAGCAAATAAAGATCAGAGAAGTTAACTTGCTAGTGTCACACAGCTAGTAAGTGGCAGAGCCAGGATTAAAACCCGAGTGTAGAGCCAGGCAAGGTGGCTAACGCCTATAATCCCAGTACTTCAGGAGGCCGAGGTGGGCAGATCGCTTGCCAGGAGTTCAAGACCAGCCTAGGCAACACAGCGCAACCCTGTCTACAAAAAAAGAAAAAGGGGTAAAGAAAAAATGGCCAGGCGCAGTGGCTCACGCCTATAATCCAGCACTTTGGGAGGCCAAGTTGGGCAGACCCTGAGGTCAAGAGATTGAGACCATCCTGGCCAACATGGTGAAACCCCATCTTACTAAAATACAAAAATCAGCTGGGTGTATAGTTGCACACACCTGTAGTCCCAGCTACTTGGGAAGCTGAGGCAGGAGAATTGCTTGAACCTGGGAGGCAGAGGTTGCAGCGAGCGGAGATTGCACCACTGCACTCCAGCCTGGCACCTGGTGACAGAGTGAGACTCTGTCTCCAAAAAAAAAAAAAAAAAAAAAGAAGAAAGAAAAGAAGAAATAAATGGCTAGGCTGGGCATGATGGCTCACATCTGTAATCTCAGCACTTTTGGAGGCTGAGGCAGGTGGATCACTGAGACCAGGAGTTAAAAGACCAGCCTGGCCAACATGGGGAAACCCCGTCTCTACTAAAAACACAAAAATATGTGGATGTGGTGGAGCACGTCTGTAATCCCAGCTACTCAGGAGGCTGAAGCAGGAGGTTGCAGTGAGCCGAGATCATGTCACTGCACTCCAGCCTGGGCAACAGAGCGAGACTCTGTCTTTAAAAAAAAAAAAAAAAAAAAGGCTGATCCTGACTCTTCCCTGGTTAAACTCACCCCTACTTCAGGGGCTCTCTCTGCTCACAGGATCAGAGCGCAGATCCCTATCTCGGTATCAGGCCCAGCAGGCTGGGCCCTGCTGACTTGCAAGCTTTCTCCTCTCCTCCGACCCTGACCCCCGCCTCTGGCTTTCCCTTGCTCACCAAGGGCACCAGGCCCTTTCTCCACACCCTTCCCTCCCCTGTGTGCCTGGGCAAGCTAAGTCATCTTTCCAGACTCAAGTCAGTCACTTCCTCTTGAAAGACTTCTTGAACGCCCTCTCCCCTGAACTTATACAGATGTCTGCTCTCTAACACTTTATTGAACCCCTGACCTTGGGGGACACCTCTGTGTGTCTGTCTCCTTCATGAGATGTGAGTACCATGTCTTGATAGCCATGATAGGGTAACTTTTAATGTTTTGGCACCTGAGACTCAGTTTTCTCATCTATCAAATGGAGCTAAAAGCCACTTTACAATGCTGCTGTGAGTTAATAATGTAACTGGCCCACCAGAAGGGGTGGATAAAAGTTGTTTCCTGGGCAGGGTGCAGTGGCTCATGCCTGAAATTCCAGCATTTTGGGAAGTTGAGGCAGGTGGATCACCTGAGGTCAGAAGTTTGAGACCAGCCTGGCCAACACGGAGAAACCCCATATCTCTACTTAAAATACACAAATTTGCTAGGTGTGGTGTTGGGTGCCTGTAATCCCAGCTACTCCAGAGGCTGAGGCAGGAAAATGGCATGAACCCAGGTGTCAGAGGTTGCAGTGAGCTGAGATCTCACCATTGCACTCCAGCCTGGACAACGAGTGAAACTCCCTCTCAAAAAGAAAATACAGGCCGGGCGCGGTGGCTCAAGCCTGTAATCCCAGCACTTTGGGAGGCCGAGGCGGGTGGATCACGAGGTCAAGAGATCGAGACCATCCTGGTCAACATGGTGAAACCCCGTCTCTACTAAAAATACAAAAAATTAGCTGGGCATGGTGGTCCGTGCCTGTAATCCCAGCTACTCAGGAGGCTGAGGCAGGAGAATTGCCTGAACCCAGGAGGTGGAGGTTGCAGGTGAGCCAGAGATCGCGCCATTGCACTCCAGCCTGGGTAACAAGAGCGAAACTCCGTCTCAAAAAAAAAAAAAAAAAAGAAAAGAAAATACAGGGCTAGGTGCTGTGGCTCACGCCTGTAATCCCAGCACTTTGGGAGGCCAAGGCAGGTGGATCATGAGGTCCACCTGGGAGATGGAGGTTGCAGTGAGCCAAGATTGCACCACTGGACTCCAGCCTGGTGACAGAGTGAGACTCTGTCTTAAAAAAAAAAAAAAAAAAAAAAAGGCCGGGCGCGGTGGCTCAAGCCTGTAATCCCAGCACTTTGGGAGGCCGAGGTGGGTGGATCACGAGGTCAAGAGATCGAGACCATCCTGGTCAACATGGAGAAACCCCATCTCTACTAAAAATACAAAAAAAGTTAGCTGGGCATGGTGGTGCGTGCCTGTAATCCCAGCTACTCAGGAGGCTGAGGCAGGAGAATTGCCTGAGCCCAGGAGGCGGAGGTTGCTGTGAGCCGAGATCGCGCCATTGCACTCCAGCCTGGGTAACAAGAGCGAAACTCCGTCTCAAAAAAAAAAAAAAAAAAAAGAATTAATCAATCCTTCCGTGTTGGGCCCCGCCTAGGAGCTGCTGGAAGCTGGGGGATCCTGCCCCAGTGTGGCGATGGGAAATGACCTGGGATTCAACTGCTTCCACTGCTTTAGTGTCAGCTGAGACTGCCGGGCCCGGGACAAGAGACAGGCCCAGAGGCTCCTCAGTGAAAGGCACAGGGGGCACTGCTCCCCCACTGGCCTCAGGAAGCCTGCTTTCAGAGCAGCAGGCGGGTTCTGGATTCTAGCAATGGACACACTGGTCCGTAACTCTGGTTAGGGGACCCAGCACCTTAACAGAAGCAGAACTGGACTTTATTGCAGCCACAGGGAAAACTGCAGGGGACAGAGCCATGTCCACCACCCCAGAAAGCTGCCCTTGCACGTGGTATCAGGGGCAAACAAATCACAAGTGCACAAATCTCTGATGAGTTTCCCAAATTTGATGAGTGCCAGGTGGGGCGCACATTTGGGAAGTTGCCCCAACGTGGCTCTGAAGGCTCTTCCTGGGGGAGGCTGCGCTCAGCTGCCCACTCCTTCTGGAATTCAAACCCCAGGCAGAGGTAGCTGGCCCTAGGCCAGAGGGCTCCTGGCTTCCCAACTTTGAGCTGTGCAGTCACCACCTTGGTGCAGGCTGGACGACAGGGACAGCAAGATGACAAAAGCCAGGTCCCCGCAGCCTAGGCTGGAGCACAGCTTGGTTCTCAGCCTCACTCCCCGCTGTGCTGTGCTCTGCCTGTCAGACGGCGACGCTGGGCCTTGCTGGTACGAGCGGCCCCTGGGGGCTTCTTGGAGTCCTGGGCCCTGCGGGGATGTTTCCTCCTGACCTTTTTGCGGCTGTGTGCATGCAGTGCTGCTGTGAGAGAGGAGATCCTGGGGGAGGGTAGAAAGCCTCAGTTTACCTTGGGAACAGGGTGGCAGGTGGAGACTGCGTTGGGGGGTGACTGACCACCCGGCTCATGGAGGGGGCGTCAGGACAGGTCGCAAATGCTGGGACTCCTCAATTCATGCCAGAGTTGGCCTGCTGTACCTCCAGCGTGCCCGCCAGCCACTCAGCTCAGAGAGACAGGCCCTTCGCCCAGGCATGAAGGGCACCGGAAGTCAGACATTCTCAGGGGGTGGGTGGAACAGGACGGGGCAATGAAGAGAGGCTGATGATCAATGACAAGGCAAGGCAGAGTGCTGCTCCGGGCCCTCCACCTGCTGCCCACCACCCCTAAGGGCCAGGCCGCTACTGCCAGCCAGGAGGAGTGGGACCGGGGAGGCGCAGGCCGACACTCACCGCTGAGAGAGCAGGGGGTCTCTGGACTTCCTCGGCAAGGCTCTGGTGGGCATGGATGCCTCCTCCTCCTCGGACCTGTCCCCAGCCCCTCCCTAAAGAATCATAAGACATTGACTTAGATGGGGCAGTAGCTGGGGAGGCCTGGGCTGGGCACCTGAGGGGTGGCTCTCGCTGCTGCATCACAGGCCTGGGATGGGACTAGAGAAGGCCTCGGGCGGAAGATCACTCTGTCTGCCCTAAAGCAAGGATTACACAGGGGACGGCCATGCTTCAAAACCCTCTCCTGCCTCTAGAAGCTTCCAGTACATACTTAAACATTCAGGAATGAAAATCCTAGCTAAATGATAAGACTTGTCTTTGTATCAGATCTTGCAGAAGAATGAGCATAAAATGAAAGACCAGTGTGACATCAGTATGGTTTTCTTTTCTTTTCTTTTTTTTTTGGAGAGGGTCTTGCTCTGCCACCCGGGCTAGAATGCAGAGGTGCAATCTCAGCTCACTGCAATCTCCGCCTCCCAGGTTCAAGTGATTCTCCTGCCTCGCCTCCTGAGTAGTTGGGATTACAGCTACCTGCCACTGCACCCAGCTAATTTTTGTACTTTTAGTAGGACAGGGTTTCCCCATGTTGGCCAGGCTGGTCTCGAACTCCTGACCTCCAGTTGATCCCCCCACCTTGGCCTCCCAAAGTGCTGGGATTACAGGCATGAGGCACTGTGCCCGGCCCTGAGATCAGTATGAATGTGACAGGGGAGTGGCTCCAGGACTTAAGGACACAGAAACTCCCTGGAGGAAATGTGTTTTATATCATAACTGTGTACATACACGTCCATAAATTCTTAGGCAAACCCAGATACAACTCCAATGGAAACAGCCATCTTAGGAAACAATACTTACCACGATGCTTTCTGGTATTTTCAATTATGATATTCTTATTCTTTATGCTGGTTGCAATTTACTCATGATTCATAACCCACAGGTTGAAAACCCACTTAGTGCACACAGACGTGCCAGGGCTGCCAATGGCACAAAGAGAACGATCGCAACAAGCAGCTGCCTTTTGTGAAGCATTTACAACAGGGCTGGGCACTGTGCCAAGTGACTCCCACGGATTAACCACTTTGATTCTGACAGCAACCCCACAAGGCAGGCGCCGCCCCCAGCAAGCCCAGGTCACGAACAGAGAAATGAAGCAGGCAACCTGAAGGAACCTGCTCAGGCTCCTCAGCCGCTCAGCAGCCGGGCTGGCCTCTGCAGCGCCCCAGAAGCAGGGACTCACGGGTCCAAAGGGCAAGAGCACTGGCACTGGGATACCCATGACATGGACCAGCACTGAGCCACCCTCTGACAAGCCAGTCCGACCCACCTCAGGTGGGGTCAGCCCGAGCAGCTGAGCCCCGGAGAGGTCCAGGTCACTGATGGTGGTCACGGTGACTGTGTGGTTGGGGTGGTCGTACTGCACCGATTCCGTCTTTGCTGTCACCAGCCGGTCCAGCTCATCTGCCTCCTCTGTGGGGATGGACACAGCCCTGGCCTTAGCCAGGGGAACCAGTGACCAGGCTCCAGCCTCCCTTCCGCCCTGAAGTGTAATGCCTCCCTCTACTCTGGACGTGGAGAGCATCCACAAGGTCCCTGGCGCTAGAGCCTGGCCTGCGGATGAATGTTGAGAATGATCCCATTTCCTTCCTGCTCTGGCTGGTTCCCACTTCAGACAGACCCTCTGTGACAGCTGCTGCTGTCCCTCTCTCCAGCTCTAGTCCTTTCAGTCTTCAGAAACCGGGCCCTCTGCTCAGGCTTGATTAACCGTGGGATTTACGTCTAACTCTCCTGGTCTCTGTTCCACTTGTACTGAGAGGTGCTAGGACCACCCTTGGCCCCAGAGAAGCCCCCAAAATCCCTAGGGCCAAGGAGGTCAGCTTCTTTGCATTCCACCCACCAAGGGAATATATAAACCGGGCCCATCAGCTGTTCTCCAGGTCAGACCAAGCATGCGACTTACCCAGTGCCTCTTCTCTCTCTGCCAACATCTTCAAGTATTCCTGGTGGCGCTGAAACCACACAGGCAGGTAACACAGTGAGTATGGCCTCTAAGCCCAACCTCAGGCTGGGGTATCAATCGCCCCCAGGGTGACTGAGACCATGATTCAGACTGCGAGATCAGAAGGAGACTCCACCTTCCATTACTCCCAGACCCAGGCCCACGGAGTCTCCACCTGAATAAACTGTCATGGGCCCTGCCCACACACATGCTGGCCCATGCTTACAGCTGCCTCTATTAGGGAAATCCAAGGCTGCAAGTACCCTAAGAATCAAAGACCTCCCTCCCACTTTCCCCCTGTGTACCTCCTCCCGAAGCTTCCTCTGCTCCTCTTTCAGCCGCTGCTTAATCTCCTCAATGGCTGCCTTCTTCCGCTCAACCTTCCGCTTGTGGAAGCCTGTCAGGTATTCCCTAAAGGAGGGAAGCCGGGAGAGACAGGAGAGTCGCAGGAGATACAAGAGAAGGGCTCGCTCTAGGAGAAAAATGGCTAATGCCACACTTGCTGTGTGCTGTGCCCCATTCCAAAAACTTACAAGTATTAGCTAATTTAACCCTTACAACAATGGCCAGACATGGTGGCTTACGCCTGTAATTCCAGCACTTTGGAAGGTCAAGGCGGGTGGATCACTTGAGGCCAGGAGTTTGAGACCAGCCTGGCCAACATGGTGAAACCCTGTGGCTACTAAAAACACAAAAATTGGCCAGGCACAGTGGCTCATGCCTGTATTCCCAGCACTTTGGGAAGCTGAGGGAGGTGGATCACTTGAGGTCAGGAGTTTATGACCAGCCTGACCAACATGGAGAAATCCCATCTCTACAAAAAATACAAAATTAGCTGAGTATGGTGGCACATGCCTGTAATCCCAGCTATTCGGGAGGCTGAGGCAGGAGAACTGCTTGAACCTAGGAGGTGGAGGTTGCGGTGAGCTGAGACTGCGCCACTGCACTCCAGCCTGGGCAACAAGAGCAAAACTCCATCTCAAAAAAAAAAAAAAAAAAAAAAAAAAAAAATTAGCAGGGTATGTTGGCGCATGTCTGTCGTCCCAGCTACTTGGGAGGCTGAAGCGGGAGAATCACCTAAACCTGGGAGGTGGAGGTTGCAGTGAGCGGAGATCGTGCCACTGCACTCCAGCCTAGATGACACAGCTAGACTCGTCTCAAAAACAAACAAACAAAAAAACCCTCACAACAACCTGTGCAGTGGGTAACAAGCTCCATTTTACAGATGGGAATGTTGAGGCACAGAGTCTAGGTTACTTGCCCAAGGTTAGAGAAAGGATACATTTAGGAAAACAAGGGAGATACTGCCTCTTTCCACTCAAATACTAAGGGCTCTCAAGTTCAGGGAACAGGACCAGGTGGGAGGGCACACGCAGTACATGGGATTACCCTTCCACACTCTCTAACAGGACTTTCAGGAGCACCCTGATCCAGACCTTCAGAACCCTGCACTAGACCAGCACCCGTGTCCCCAGGACACCTGACCCTGAACTCTCCTATAGGGCCTGCTGATGCTAGGAGTTCCCTGATGATGCCCAGCATTTCCCTCCCTCCATTCCTCGGTCTGATCTCAGCCCCTTCTCATCTTGCCAGTGCCAGCTGCTCTGTTCCCATTTTACCCCACAGTCCAGCACTGGGCTTTTCGCTGACCCGCTACCATGTGCCATTTATCTGTCTGGCCGGACGCTGAGGCTCAGAGGTTCAGCTTCCTGATACGGGACGTGGCACACCAAAGGAGCCCAATAAAAGTCTGGGGAGCGAATGAATGAACTTAAGCCACTCTCATTTTATTAGCTCATCATTCATCATCCACGGCTGAGCGCCTGCTGTGTGCCGGGCCGATGGACTGGACTGGGCTAGGGTGGTCGAAGCCACTGCTCTGATGCCCGAGCTTCCGGCTGTCTGGCGGAGCAGAGACCCTAGGCGAGGTGGGGAGGCCAAGAAGGGACAAGCGGGAGCAGGGACAAACTGGGAGGTGCAGAGGGGTTCTCTAGCCACGCCAGGGGGCGGGGCCGGAAGAGCCCTCGGCGAGAGCGTGCCCGGCCCGGACCTAACCTTGGCCGAGGCTCCAGGGGAGTCCGGTCCAGCTTTGCCACTCACCGCCTCTTCTCCTCGTCGAAGCTGAGAACTAGCCTGGGCCGCCGGTCGTCACCATCTCGCTTCTTCTTCTTGTTGCGGCCCATAGCGGTGAGGCCACCACCTTCCGTTCACCCGAGACACTTCCGGGTGTAGCGTACTCATCCTCCCGGGTGCACGCCTCAGCGTCGCTCCGCAGTTCCGCCCGCAGACCCCGCCTTTTAAAGGGATCTTCCAGCTCGTTTTCTTCCCTCTCCCCAAGCGTGACTCCGAGCTCCAGCCCCCTACCCAGATTCGCTTCAGTGAGAGCGAGGCCCCCCGGACCCCATTGCCTAGGACTGTGCCTGGCATACAGTATGCACTTAATATGGAGTTACTCGTGAATGACCAAAAATTCCTGTACCTACCCTACTTTGAATGTTTTTTCTTTGATTTGTTATTATTACTTTTGAGGTGGAGTCTCGCTCTCTCGCCCAAGCTGGAGTGTGCAGTGGCGCGATCTGGGCTCATTGCAATCTCTACCTCCCAGGTTCAAGCAATTCTCCCGCCTCAGCCTCCTGAGCAGCTGGGACTACAGGTGTGTGCCACTATACCCGGCTAATTGTTGTATTTTTAGTAGAGACAAGGTTTCACCACGTTGACCAGGCTGCTGGAACTCCTGACCGCAAATGAGCCTCCCATCTCGGCCTCCCAAAGTGCTTCCTCCACACCCGGTAGCCTCTCTTACCTGCCCCAGGATTTTTCTTTGCCCTGTTGTGGCCCCAGTCCTAGTAGTATGTACTGTGTCAGCCCATGCACGGGGAGAATCAATGGGTGAACTGAGGACCAGGCGGGGCAGCCTAGGGAACATTTTCTCCAATATCCAGCAGAGGGCACCCCATCTGCAGCCAAGTTTCCAAAGCTATTTCTGGGTGGCCACCTGGGAGCCCCAGGAGCGCCTGGAGATGGGGTGTGGCTCAATGGATTTCTCAGCTTGTGTGTTCCGTCCTCTTTGGCCTCTCATAGAGGTACGCGCTCCCCACTCCGCCCAGGGCCCAGGGCACTCACTGAGATGGAAATCATCCACCCAAAATGGGTCCCATTTTATGGATGAGGAAACTGAGGCTGGGTGTGTAAGAGACCTACTCACAACTGGTGTCAGTTGCCCTAGAAAGTGAGATTTACTGGCCGGGTGCAGTGGCTCATGCTTGTAATCCCAGCACTTTGGGAGGCAGAGGCAGGTGGATCTGGCCAACATGGTGAAACCCAGTCTTATTTAAAAAAAAAAAAAATATATATATATATATATATATATATGTGTGTGTGTGTGTGTGTGTGTGTGTGTGTGTATAAATTAGGCCAGTGGGTGGTTTGTGCCTGTAATCCCAGCTACTCTGGAGACTGAGGCAGGAGCGCCTCCCTTGCTTGAACTCAAGAGGTGGAGGTGTTGTGGTGAGCTGAGATCACACCATTGCACTCCAGCCTGGGTGACAGAGCAAGACTGTCTCAAAGAAAAAAAAAAGGAAAGTGAGATTTGCCAAGCCTACCCGACCCACCATGCCTCAGGAGACTGTGCCTTGGGATTGTGGGGGAGCTCAATGATGTTCTGATTCTAAGCCTTCTGGAACAGAAACAGGGGCTGGCAATGGGGTGACAGGGTCATCACCCAAACCCATAATCCCATTTTTGGGGTGGGGCCATCTGCCCAGGGATGAGGGCCAGCAGATTCCAGCCTAGTCCCTTGGTTGCCTGTACACTCTAGCAAAGTGGGGTGCATGGCCTGAGCCCACAAAGCCAGGTTGCCTGGAGAAGCCTGCAGGCTCAGCTGGGCCTGGTACAGATCCAGGAGTCACTTCATCAATCAGAGCCCATTTCTTCCCCTTCCAGTTGGAGTAATAGCACCTCAAAAGTGGTGCAAGGAGCTGGGTACAGTGACGTGCACCTGTGGTCCCAGCTACTCAGGAGGCTGAGGTAGGAGGACTGCCTGAGCCCAGGAGTTTGAGGCTGCAGTATGCCATGATCATGCTTGTGAACAACCACTGCACTCCAGCCTGGGCAACATAGCAAGATCCCATCTCTAAAAAAAAAAAAAAAAGCCATGCACAAGGGCTGGGAAACCACTATCCACTAGCGTTTACCATATGCCAGGTATTGAAGCTGGCTTCTTTCATGTAGTAACTCATTTAATCTTCACTTGATCTCAGCCAGAAGGCAGAGAATCAACTGGTCTTTGAAACAACTCTTTTTTTTTGTTTGTTTGTTTTTGAGACGGAGTTTCGCTCTTGTTACCCAGGCTGGAGTGCAATGGCGCGATCTCGGCTCACCACAACCTCTGCCTCCTGGGTTCAAGCAATTCTCCTGCCTCAGCCTCCTGAGTAGCTGGGATTACAGGCATGTGCCACCATGCCCAGCTAATGTTTTGTATTTTTAGTAGAGATGGGGTTTCACTATGTTGACCAGCATGGTCTCAATCTCTCGACCTCGTGATCCACCCGCCTCGGCCTCCCAAAGTGCTGGGATTACAGGCTTGAGCCACCGCGCCCGGCCCCTGGAACAACCCTTTGATAAGCTGTATGTGTTATCCCCCTTGTATAAAGGAATAAGCTGAGGCTCAGAGAGGTCAGTTAACATGCAGGTCCCACAGCTGGCAGCCCCTTGTTTTCTGACTCCAAATATCTTTCTAGCTCATGAAGGCAAATGAAGGGGGCCTCGTATTCTTCCCTCCACCTCCCTGCCTTCTGCCCCTGTCACCACACACACATTGTTCTGTCCTTGCCTCTTTCCCACTTGATGGCATTTATGCAACATCTTTGGAGTACCTGCTGTGTGCTAGGACCACTAGGCTGAAAGCAGTTCCAGGGCAGGGACTGATTTTTTTTTTTTTTTTTTTTTTTTTTTTTTTCTGAAATGGAGTTGCACTCCAGCCAAGCCTGGAATGCAGTGGTGCAATCTCGGCTCACTGCAACCCCCACCTCCCGGGTTCAGGCGATTCTCCTGCCTCAGCCTCCTGATTAGCTGGGACTACAGGTGCCCGCCACCACGCCCAGCTAATGCTCATGTTTTTAGTAGAGACGGGGTTTCACCATGTTGGCCAGAATGATACTGATCTCTTGACCTCATGATCCGCCCACCTGGACCTCCCAAAGTGCTGTGATTACAGGCCTGAGCCACTGCGCTGGCCTGGGACTGATTTTCATTCAGTGGTCACTGGCCCTCCTACTCTGTGCCAAACTCTGTGCTTGGTCTGGGGTGGGGGATCCAGCAGAAGACATCGTTAGAACTGAGGAGGTACCTGTGGACAAAGCGAATGGAAGTGAAGGAAGGTGCCCCCCACCATGCGCACGCACGCATGCACATGTACACACACGTACACACATGTACACACACACACACACGAGGCTGGTTCACAGGGAGCAGAGGCCTTTATTGGGGGTCATGGGCTGGCTGGTTTCAGTCAAAGGCCACACACTTGATCTTGAAGTCACCGTCAGCTGCCATGTAGTTGATGGCCTCCAGGTTGAGGCGGTTGGGGAACTTGAATTCGTATCCATCTGGCAGCTTGATGGTCAGGTCTGCCTGGTCGAAGCTGATACACACCTGGGGGTGGGTGAGGGGAGTGAGCCCGACTTTTCCAGAACCCATTCCTCATGCGGCCCTGACACTTTGTGGCTGAGCCTGAGGAGGCGCATTTTTAATAATTTTTCTTTTCTTTTTTTTTTTTTTTTACTCTAATCTCATGACAGATTTTTTTATTTTTAGTTTTTGAGATGGAGGAGTCTGTCACTGAGGCTGGAGTGCAGTGGTACTATCTTGGCTCACTGCAACCTCCACCTCCTGGGTTCAAGTGATTCTCCCACCTTAGCCTCCCACGTAGCTGGGATTACAGGCATGCGCCATCACACCCAGCTAATTTTGTATTTTTAGTAGAGACAAGGTTTCTCCATGTTGGTCAGGCTGGTCTCAAACTCCAGACCTCAAGTGTGATCTGCCCACCTCGGCCTCCCAAAGTGCTGGGATTATAGGTGTTAGCCACCGCACATGGCCTTTTTTTTTTTTTGAGACAGGGTCTCATTCTGTCACCCAGGCTGAAGTGCAGTGGCACAATCTCAATTTACCTGAGGCTCAAGTGATCCTCCCACCTCAGCCTCCTGAGTACCTGGGACTACAGGCCAGCACCATCATGCCCAGCTAATTTTTTATTTTTATTTTATTTTATTTTATTTTTGAGCCTGAGTTTCGCTCTTGTTACCCAGGCTGGAGTGCAATGGCGCGATCTTGGCTCACTGCAACCTCCGCCTCCTGGGTTCAGGCAATTCTCCTGCCTCAGCCTCCTGAGTAGCTGGGATTACAGGCACGCACCACCATGCCCAGCTAATTTTTTGTATTTTTAGTAGAGACGGGGTTTCACCATGTTGACCGGGATGGTCTCGATCTCTTGACCTTGTGATCCACCCGCCTCGGCCTCCCAAAGTGCTGGGATTACAGGCTTGCGCCACCGCGCCCGGCCTCAATTTTTGTATTTTTAATAGACACGGGGTTAGCCACCATGTTAACCAGGCTGGTCTCGAACTCCTGACCCCAAATGATCTGCCCGTCTCAGCCTCCCAGAGTGCTGGGATTCAGGCGTGAGCCACCGGGCCTGGCTCCTCCTTTGTTTTATTCTAACCAACCACTGAGGTTCAAAGAGGGGCTGACACTGGCCATCGCACAGGAAAGAGGAGGGGAAAGAGAGCATGTAGGGCCAAGGTCTCGAGTCACTAGCCCAGCCCCGCCCCAGCCCACCCAGCCCCTGTCCCTGGTCGGCAGCCCACCTCTGCGACACTCCCAGGCTGGAAGGGAAAGGTGGCCTCCCGCTGCTCGGCCCCCCAGGCACCGCCGTCCTTGCTGTTGCACACGATGGTGTTGGCGTCCCCGTGGGCGTTGAAGCGAGGGTTGAAGTGCAGGCACAAGTTGTTGCTGTCTTTGCCCAGGTTCAGCACGAAGCTGGAGGGTAACAGGCGGGCTTGAGGCCACCTCGGCCAACTCCAGCCCCACCCGCGGACTAGTCTGTCATTCAGTATCCCACGAATGCACCTTGCTGGAAGAACTCAGGAACGGAGACAAGAAACCTGGGTTCTAGCTCTGGCCCTGCCACCTGCTTACTGTGTGAGCTTGAGCTAGTCCCTGCTCCTCTTCCCCAGTTTCCTCATCTGTACAACGGGGC